GTCTTCAGTATTCTCTATTATGGAATTGAGGCGTAGAATCTGACAGACGCCATGTGTAAAAATCTAGAGGCTTTTGAAATGTGGACGTATAGAGGGATTTTAAAAATATCTTGGACCGACAGAGTGCGCAATGAAGATGTGCTAACAAGAATGTTGAAAGATCTTGAAGTTATGTTTACGCTTAAGAAGCGAAAGTTAAAGTACTTCGGACACATACTCAGGAATGACAAATACCTACGTCTCGAGCTCATAATAAGGGAAAAAACGAAAACAGAAGAGGCCCTGGACGTCGAAGAATATCTAGAAAATTTGCGTCACTGGTATGGCGAAACCACTGAAAATCACCTGTGTAAGCGAAACGTGTAACAAACGCCACACCACAAATAGAAAACCAAGACACAGGCAATACAAAGATAATGTAACAGCAGCAACAAGCTTATAATAATAAGTGTATCATCAACGGAAATAACACCTTAGTGTACAGAATAACGTTGAGTCATCCTTAATACAAGTTTCACCGTATATTATATTGAAGTACCTACCCTCAATTCAAGGTAGATCTTAATGCCACCTGAATGAACTGATTTTAGGTTCACCTTGACGTTAAGGATACCTCAGGTAAGTCTTGATTTTAAGGTAACATTGAAATTTCGGCCCTAGAAGCCAAAGTAAAATACTAAACTTCATTCATCACCTCTACTAAAAATTTTGTTTGCATCTCTCATTGAAGAAATAATGTAAATTATAGGAATAACATTGCTTCTGGTTTCAAATGGAAAAGTCAAAATATAGATAATGAAAAAAAATGTAGAATACATCAAAGGAAAAGCATGGGTATTCAAAATTTGAAATTTTGCAAAGGCTTTATCTCAGGAACGTTAGGTTGAGTTAAATTTTTTTGATACCGGTAGCTTTTGGTTTTTTTTTTCGTAAATTTTCAAAAAAATTCGTGCAAATGAACTATTTTATAAAGGATTTAATTCTCGTTGTTACACCAGAAAACCCGCGAAACATTAACCATTAAGACCGATTTAGTGAGGCCGTCTCGGAAGGTTGAAAATTTCCCACGGCAAATCGAACATTTCTTTCTTAATTTTTTTCCGCCCTTAGATAAACCTCCACGAGTCCTGTACGTTATTTTTACCATAATAAAGTTTCACCCTTTCTTTATAGTGAAAAAGAATTGCCCCAAATTTAAACGATCTATCTGAAAATAACATTGGATATAAGCTGTTTATCTGTTAATCTTGTAATTAGGTTGGCAGCACTAGCATTTTTATCGCCACCTTTTTTTATTTGAGTAGAGCAAATTTTGGATGTACAAAGCTAATGATAGAGTCAACATCCACACGATTTTTTTAATGTTGACCACTTTGGAAATCGATATTTTGCCAATTTTGTTCGTCGAAAACAATGTTTTGGAGTTTTTTTCCGTATAGATATATTCAATAGTTGTTTACTGTTGGCAATGCTGAAAGTTCAAATCCCCGTGAGTTTTACTTCCAACTTGATTTAACGTTGGCAACATTGCCAAAAAATTTTGGTCGCCATTTTCCCTATTATTTATCGAGCACATTTTAGCGGAGTTGCCATCGTAAACCAATCTATTAATAATTAAAATTTCAGTCACTGTGATACCCCACTGTTAACCAAGGATGCTACACACTATTACTACTACAAGATGACCTATCCTCATAAGGCCTGTGTGTAACAAATTCCCCCTTCCCTCCCGCGCCAAAATACCAGTTGTGACGTAGGCAGCATGTTATTTCTCGCCTTGACGTAGCCTGTTTAAACTGCTGACCACTTACTTATGACGTCGGAAATGGTATCACACCAATATGGCGGAGATTACCAAAAACGAGGCCGATAAACACTCCTTAGAGTGTGTATTCTCCTCGACTGTTAACGTCGAAAAATTAATGAGACTTGACACTTGTTATCAATAACACTGATAATTAAAATGTTTTCGTTTGGTCATGAAATCTTTTTCATTTTCTGTGTGTGTTGACAACACTGAAAAGTGATACAATTCAAAGTTCACAAGATATTTTAATTCGATACGACTGAAAATGTTATTTTGCCAATGTGAAACAAATAATAGGGATTTTCTTTTTCGGGAATAATGCTATCAATTGGCAACACTGATAATTCAAAACTTCCATATTTCTTCTGTGTTTTTTTCTGCCAAACGCGCTAAGAAGTAATTGCTTATATATTTAATGATATTTTAGCAAATTCACTTTAGCTTGAATAGAAATTAATTTTGGAAGGTCTTATTGCTATGTCTGACTCATTGAGCTTCGAAATTCAGTTTTGTTTGAAATTTTGTCCAAAGCTTCAAACTCGATTCTCTGAAAAGTTATAATCCCAATGATCCAGTAGGATAACCACTTTTAATAAAAACTTCAATTCAAAAAAAAAATCTTATGGGTATCAAGATACTGATGCGGTATAGTGCATCTTAAATGAAAATCGAATGGGGAAAAGTGAAATTTGTATTTTGAATTTTTCTGTTTGAACTTGATTAGTCGAAGTTAATCGAAAACTACTTTAAAATCATTGACATCGTTACTCAAATACACGCATCTAACGTTGTTTAAAAAAAAATATATATTTATATGTATATGTAAGGACCTCTAGAGCTATGCGGTTGCCATTTTTGAAGCATCTACCAAAAGGCAGACATTTTTCATTTATTACTAAAATCAATGGACAAATAAATAAATAATAAAGTGTGTCTCATAAGAGGACCAATAGTCGCCCGTAAGGAGGATATCCTTCCCACCTTTCCCTTACGTCACGACGATTGTCTCCTGCTTGCAATCCGTAATGCAACAACGTATAGCCACTGGCAGTACTTTTCTGCAATTCAGTACTGCCGCGACACGATCGTAGCATAGCTCGTACCGTAGTACCAGGGACCTAGTATAGGTAATACGCGTGTTCGGGTTTTGGTGCCTCTGCGAAGATAGGAAGTCGTACTGCTGTAATCCGTGTCGCTTCTTGCAGGTCAGTGCTGTCAAACCTGATTTGCTTTTAATGCCGTTTTTGGCGATTTTAACTGTTTTTATAGGTGCGAAATTTCATATATGGCCGGTCGAGGAGATCGGATCGGAATGGACAATGTGTTGGGAAACTACTTTAGTTTCAATTTAAATGCAGTAACTTTAAACATTATGTAACTGAAGTTAGAAAATTCTTAAATCCTCCGCAAAAGTATTTGTAAAGGTAATTTTTGAATCGACCTAGTTCTAGTTTTTAATCGGCAATTACTTGTAGACTGTCAAGATTTTTTGTCTACAAAAATGTTTACCTACTCATATAGGTATTGAATCTTCTTCTAAGTTTTTTTTCTCAAAGTTCGACATTTACTTTTAAAGCTACCTATTTCACTTATTTGACAAACTAATATAAATTAAATTTAAAAAATAACCAATATTATTGTTTAAACATTTTCATTGCAAAATAAAATGCAACTTATTGAAATCATTATAAAATCATCATGCATGAGAAATACCGAATACAAAAGAGCAATTGAAATCATTATTACGAAATTATAATAAATTTTATTTTTCATAAAGTTGATGAACTCGATAATTTAATAGAACAATTATTCACAGCATTTGAAACGAACAAAATTGATTTGGCAGAACAAATTGCATTCGCGATGGAATTGAATTTTAGGTGAAAACGTGATGAAATGAAATTGGAAATTAATGTTTTTTTTTTGTAAGAGATTGGTTTTGGGAATATCATCTGTGAATAATTGAGTCGTTTCAAAAATTTCTTGACAGCACAGAAATTGCAATGAAAAACTGCCTCAAGAAACCCCTTTAGGCTCTAAAACCAACAACAAGATACAAACATTATAAATAAATTTCACACCTGATTCCACCGAAAACGGAAAAAAGCAAATCAGGTTTAATGGCACTGACCTGAAGAGCTATAAATACAGTTACTATAAATAAAGTAAATAAATCATATAAAATTACTATTAAAAATAACTCTTTATACTTTCAAATAAGCTTTTAGCATTTTTTTGGTAGTTCCATGCACTGCGATTAGAGATTATCTCATATATCTTCAGGATATTTATCTCCAGAGCTGTAATACTCGAGTAAATAGTATTTGCATTGGTACTCGGGTAAACCAAAGTAGAATTATTTACTCCAATATTTTTCCCGATTTTTGCACCAGCAACCTCAAATAATTGCTCGAAATAACAAATTCTGTACATAAAATTATTTTCTCGAGAAAATCCGGAAATGTGGAAAAAAATTTGACTTTTGGAATTTAAGATCAGCACATCTACAACAATGATTTATTACATTGAGTATTTTTGCTTTTTTTTTCCATCAGGTCTAGAAATTTCAAATCCATACAATTTCTTAAAAAGCATACCTTAGGGTAGGTATTAATTATAAGTAAGTATAAACCTCTTCGCTCCAGAACTTTTATAAATGATGGTAGATCGAAATTGCTTAAAAATTGCGGATTTTGTACCGACAAGTGTCATGTTGATATCATAAATAGCGCTACATTATACCTTCACCCCTCTACTTGTATCGATGTCAAACATGACCCTGTGCTGTGTTTCCTTTTCCGAAGGTGCACTGATAAGCTCTAATAAATCACTTGTTTGACAACTCGTCATTAGGGTCACTTTGACGTTGACTTACGTCAATTTGATCACTGTTTGACTTATGTCACTAGAATTACGCGACTTAAGTTACTTTCAAAGCTTGTAATGACTCAATTATAACTTTGACATACGTCCCTGAAAAAATGACTCCTATGAGAAGTATTATCAGACACTTTGTTATCAGTACCATATTCTTGACTTCGTTTTTCTTTTAGGCTTTTTTTTGTGTTTACATTTCAGAAGTATTAGATTGAATAGCAAGATGGTCAGCCGAACTCTACATATCTCTATCTATAATAATATAAAAATCATTTTCATTGGGTGATAATTCTAAAATCGTCACTTTTTGTTTCAGGTTGTAGATTCTAGAGCTCGTACCGGTGTAAATGGTAACCTCCAGGCTCAAGCCAGCAGACAGTTGGAAGTATTTCAAAGCAGGACTTCGGGGGCTCGTTTACAAGTGGTCAAAACAAAGACTGTTAGTAGTAGCAGGTGGTCGTCGACCAACAAGGGCGATTCGACGCCAATTGCGGCCCTGGGATTCGAGGATTTAAAGGTGACAAGCTTGATATCTGAATAAATATATTCTCTAGAATTCATTATAAGTCACGTAATTTTTAACAATGGAAATTATTCTGTCAGCTAGAAGTCTTTAAGTTCTCATTTTCTTATACAACGTTTTAGAAGTATTTTTATCTACCTCGTCCATATACACAGCATCCCCTTTGACAGATAATGCTACAGGCAAAATTATAAAAGCAATGAACATTCCATAGGAACAATATTGCTTCCAATCATTTACTAGTTGTGTATACGTGAATAGGTGAATAGGATTATTTCCTAATTTTCTCAAAGTATTTGGAAAGTTTGTATAGTGAATTTTCAAAAGGGTACCAACAGGGGCGGATACAAGCCTTTTGAAAGGGGGGGCAGTTTAAGTTAAAGTAAGCCAGATTAAATTAGTTTGGTTTAGTTTTGGCAGCGCATTGTGCAAGATACGCTTTTTCGAAGGAATGGCCCATAAAAATATGGGAATGGGGGAATTATTTAGGAGAATAAGGTGATTTTAAATAGATATGTACAGGGTGATTCATTAAGAATGGCACTCGGCCATATCTCAAAAACTATTCATCGTAGTCTTGTCGGAAAAAAATTATCCCATAAATATGGCCAAGAGAAAATGCTGGAAATATATTTCAGCTTTCTAAATTACCGTAAGGGGGCGTAACCCAACTGTCAAAGTACAAAAATGGTTTTATTTTTGAAATTTCAAATGGAAACGTATCTTGAAAATGCTAGCAATATATTTTTGATGAAATTTCACACAATTTTGATTCATGACTTCTCACCAGAACTTATCGGATGAGATAGTTATGAGCTGTCAAATATTGCAACTTAATAACACGAATAACTTCAAAACGACTCAACGAATTGGGTCGATTTTAGGTTCGTTGGAAAGACAAGAGTCTGTTCTTTAATTTTGTTGTAAAAATTTCCAACTTCAGTTAGTTAGACTGACTCTATGGGTGGATATTTGAAAACAATCGAATTTTTCTAATTTTTCTTGAAATTTTCAAATGAAACGGTATATTTAGGATACGTTCAATCGATTTTTGAGGATGTTTTACACAGTTTTTCTTTATTATACCTTCCTACAAACGAATTCCAGAGAGTGTTAAATTTAATTTTATCAAAAATAATCAATATTTATGAAAAAGCCCTCGTAAATAATGACTTCGTTTTTCTGACAGTTGATTGGCATCATTGATGAACGTCAAATAATGAAAAAAGTGCGTTAGGAAATTATAGTGCCAGAACGTTGGTTGTATTTTCCTCGCACGTGGCTCTACGTCTTCGAGTGAAAAGGGGGGTATGAATACTACCCGTAACCCTTAAACGATTATTCAACCTCCTGATGGATCTAGGGTCAGGGTGAGGTCTTTAGGGATAACGCCCTGAATAAATACGTGCTGCGATTGCTGCATTTCCGTTACAATCATGCAGCTCAAGGATGTCTTGTGCTTCTCCATTTGGGAAATGCATTTTGACTTTAGAAAATAACGTTTGGAGTGCGTTCGAAATCACCCTGGGGGTCACACCGAGTGCACACCAGCTATAAATTATATACATGGCTGGTGTGCACTCGGTGTGACGCCCAGGGTGATTTCGAACGCACCCTTGAAGTTTTAAAAATGTGTCAGCCTGACATATTTAACTGGTATCTGTTCAATTTACGAAGGCTTTTTTATAAATACTGATTATTTTTAAGAAAATTAATTTTAACACTATCTGGAATTCGTTTGTAGGAAGGTATGATAAAGAAAAACCGTGTAAAACATCCTAAAACATCGATTGAACATATCTTAAATATACCGTTCCATTTGAAAATTTCAAGAAAAATTAGAAACATTCAATGATTTTCAAATATTGACCCATAACGTCAGTCCTACTAACCAGAATTCGAATTTTTCACAACAAAATTAAAGAACAGACTCTTGTCTTTCCAACAAACCTGAGATTGACCAGATTCGTTGAGTCGTTTTGAAGTTATCCGCTTTCTTGAGTTGCAATATTTGACAGCTCATAACTATCTTATCCGATAAGTTCTGGTGAGAAGTCATGAATCAAAATTGTGTGAAATTTCATCAAAAATCTATTGCTAGCATTTTCAAGATACGTTTCCATTTGAAATTTCAAAAATAAAACCATTTTTGTACTTTGACAGTAGGGTTACGCCCCCTTACGGTCATTTTAGAAAGCTGAAATATATTTCCAGCATTTTCTCTTGGCCATATTTATGGGATAATTCTTTTCCGACAAGACTACGATTAATAGTTTTTGAGATATGGCCGAGTGCCATTCTTAATGAATCACCCTGTACATGGTGTTTTCTTACATATTGACACCCAACCTACAGTCTTTGCCTTTACAGGTAAAAGAAAGGTGTAAATAAAAAAAGTTGTACAGTTTTGGCTGAATTATTAGAAACCATGGTCAGAAACAAAATTTGAATGTCAAAAATGATAAATTTTGCATGCTTTCAGCTTTTTTCAAATGGGATGCCCTATATTTCATTCTATATTCTTGAAGAGCACTATGCCCCGATTCCAAATTTTTATAGTTTGTCTATATTTGATTGAACAGTCTCTCATATATTCGGCTCCAAAAATTGTAAAAATACTATCCTACTACTGATTTTGTGAACCATTCTACCTGTTCAGGTAAAAGCTGCAGGTAAAATTTGAGGCACCTACTTGATTTCTCTGATAGTATTTTTAAAATATTTAGAACCAAATATGTTGGAGACGGCTCAACCAAATATAGACTAACTATATAGTTTTGGAATCGGGAAATTGTGCTCTTCAAGAATATAGAACCAAATATAGGGCATGCCATTTGAAAAAAGCTGAAATAATACAACATTTTACATTTCTGACATTCAATTTTTGTTTCTGACCATGGATTCTAAAAATTTAGCTAATACTGTAAATATTTGTATTTACACCTTTCATCTACTTGTAAAGGTGAAGGATGTAGGTGGGGTGTCAATATATAAAAAAACACCCTGTACTTGAACAATAACTTATTATATAAAGTCAGAATTTGTAAGATTATCCACTTTTTGTCAATTTGCCTTTCAACAGGAATTGATAATAATGTTACTTTACCAAACTAGTAATATATTGTGATGAGTTATTCAAGTACAAACGAGTGGATTGTTGCGGAACTTATGGGTGGACCTAGCCATCTATTCACCAATATGTTGTTCAAGTACAATACTAACCTGATTCACTCAGTTGTGAATTTTCCTCATTAGTTCAAAAACTACATGTTTCAGGTGAGTGTCTTATTTGAACAGTTTAACAGTATATTGGTGAGTAGATGGCTGCGGAACTCGCTGCGCTCGTCCCGCAGAGGTCCACCCATAAGTTCCGCAATAATCCACTTATTTTTACAGGGTGTTTTTTATATATTGACAGCCCACTTACAGCCTTTACCTTCACAGGTAGAAGAAAGGTGTAAATACAAAAGTTGTACAATTTTGGCTGAATTTTTAGAAACCATGGTCAGAAACAAAATTTGAATGGCAGAAATGTGAAATTTTGCATGTTTCCGGCATTCTTCAAATGGGATGCACTATATTTTATTCTATATTCTTGAAGAGCACAATGCCCCGATCTATATTTGATTGAGCAATCTCTCATATATTCGGCTCCAAAAATTGTAAAAATACTATCCTACTACTGATTTTGTGAACCATTCAACCTGTACAGGTGAAAGCTGCAAGTAAAATTTGAGGTACCTGGTTTCTCTGATAGTATTTATTAAATTTTTAGAACCAAATATGTTGGAGACGGCGCAACCAAATATAGACAAACTATATCGTTTTAGAATCGGGAAATTATGTTCTTCAAGAATATAGAATCAAATATCGCGCATCCCATTTGGAAAAAGCTGAAAGCATGCAACATTTCACATTTCTGACATTCAATTTTTGTTTTTGACCATGGATCTTAAAAATTTAGCCAATAATGTACAACTTTTCTATATACACCTTTCATCTACCTGTAAAGGTAAAGGCTGTAGGTGGGGTGTCAATATTTAAAAAAACAACCTGTACATAATTTTATTGATTTTGTATGAATATTCATTTATTAAAACAAAAAAAAAAAAAACAATACATCAACTCAACCACTAATGATATACTGTTCGAGATTAAAGTTCTTGGGACAAAGACAAAAGTGTGATTTTTTTATAGGTTTCCAGCTTTCTAAACATTCTTAAAACTTAAAATATGGTTTTGTTTTCTTGTTGTTTCACCCCCCACTGTATCCGCCACTGGGTACCAAGTTGCTGTAATTTTGGATCTAAATGTGATGAGATAAATCGAATACGGGTGATCCTAGCTTAGTTATTTCTAAATCAAGAATTATTGCTGAAATCGTTTTTGATGTATCCATTTCCTAAGGTGTATAATATTTCAGAAACAAACAACATAAAGATTCGAAAACTTACCTCAACCTTTAAATATAAAATTATTGGTCCAAGGATCTCCGTGTAAAAGCACTAAGGGATTGCTCAGCTCCCTCTTTAATTTAACTTCTCTAAAATAATGACTGAATCCATTTTTAAGTTTACTTTTCATTTTTTCAAGCAGCCCAAATTCGTTATTCGCTCCCAAAATCGAATAAACCCCATTTTCAGCTTCTTCCATAGAATCATCAATAATATTTTTGAATGCATCTATTATATCTTGCTTAAGGTGTTCAAATATATTAGCAAATTTTTCTGGATATTGATTTTGATAAGCTAAACTGACTGCATGCCGCTTGCCATAATTTGATAATGTAGGTTTCAGATGGTTTATATCAAATGACTTGCGCCTTATTTTATGGATATCAAATATTGCAATAAGATTACCTATTACCTCTTGGTTTTCATATGCAAGTGTCCCAAAGCATTTCGCAATAAAATCGTCCAATATGTAGACATTTGTCTTTTTAGTGGACTGGAAAAAGGATTTTTTTTCTCGCAGAAATGTATCTTCTTTGCCATGTTTTACTACTAAATTTAGCTCCATAGTTTCATCGTTAGGTGTTACTGCTCTTACTTCAACAAACGCTATATCTCCGATATAATTATCGCCTTTTTCTGATGAACCCGTAATGATTGCTTCGAAAGTTTTAAATTTTTGCTTCCATGCTTCCAAAATTCACTTACTTACATTTGATTGAAGATAACTATCAATAGCCTGCATTTTACTAGTTTTGATTAACTTTGACTATATTAGCTTTGTCCGAACCCAGCAGGAAACCGTAATATCACCGTCAGGATTCTGCGCAAAACCTTAGATTTTTACGTAGAAACCGAAATTCATATACAGAGTGGTTCCGAACCCGTTCAGAGGCGACGACGCGCTATAAAACGGAGTCGGCCGTCGAGAGCCGTCGTGCTATTGTCTTGAATGAATGTAAATTAATGTTGAGAGAGTAGTCTGACGATGGCCCAGTGAGAAATTTGTTCCTTAGTTTGATAAGAGTTACTTAAACCAAATAAAAAGGATTTGCCCTACAACTGTAGAGCTTTCACTCGGAGGCCCATTGGCCCATTGTTGTTCCCTTCTTCAGAGTGGTTCCCTCCCAAATCTTGAACCTGTTCCTCCTTTGTTCCTTTCGTGCCAGTGCATGATTTTACGAAGTTCAGTATATTCATTTTCTCTATCTTTCCCGCCCAGGCGGTGTAGGCGCTCCTTTTTCAGCTTGGTCCTTTTTCAGCTTGGTTCTTTTTTTATTTCCAGTTTTGCCAATGTATCTGCAATTTTGTTTCCTTCGATATTATTATGTCCAAGAACCCAGCTTAGTCCGACATTACTGTTCCTGATCCAGGACAGCGGTTCTCGGCAGCTCAAAACTATTTTTGATTCTCTTCTATGTGATTCTAGAAGTCTCAGCGCCGCTTTGCTATCCATATTATATGGTGACATTGCCCATCGCATTGTCCTCTCTTAACAATAGCCTTGCTGCTTTTTCAATAGCAATTATTTCGGCATACAGGATGCTGCAATCATCCCTGAGTTTGTATGACTCTAGAATGTTTAGTGGTTCTGAGTATACTCCGGCTGCTGTGCCGGTTTTGGTTTTTGTGTCATCTGTGAATATTGCTATTTCATTTTCCCTATGTATAGTGGTTTGATCCCAATTTTATCTTGAAAGCATAGTGACCTTTATCTTGTCCCCCAAAGAATAGTTGGCCACTATGTAGTACGTTGTCTTAAGGAATGTTTCGGCCGCTTGGTGGTCCATCATTTCGGCTATATCCTTAAGTTTTATCGCGTGTCCATAATCGGTTCTCTTCTAAAGTCTGGATTCTCTTGGTCTAAGAGAGGGTCTCATTATCGCAGTGTACATCCAATGGATGATGTGCGGTTGCATTCTCCATTTTTTGCCGAATAGATTTCTGCAGGTGTATATTGCATTCAGGCCATTTTTAATTTTTTCTTTTGTGATTCTCCGAGATCTAACGAGAGTTATTGGAGTCAAGAACGACCCCTAGATACTTCGCTTCTTTTCGAGGGTTTGTCTCACAACCGTCGGCATTGTAAAACTAGGGATTTCGTATTTTCTTGTGAACAGCACTAGCTTGGTTTTTTGAGGGTTTTCTCCCAATCCGTTCTCTCCTTCCATGATTTCACTGATGGTTGATGAGCTGAAGCCATTTACCAGTAGGTGCCTACTACCGATATTTTTTTAAATAGGTTTCACATGAGTAAATTTCCATATTGAGGGAAATTTTCCATTTAATATTGAGTTGTTGAAAAGTAGCTATAGAGGTCTGGATAGAGAAAAAGCACAGTTTAGTTTAGCAATAAGCAGGAGGGAGGTTCTCTGGTCCTGGTCCCTTGTTCAAATTTATTTTTTCCAACTTTTCAAGAATCTTTGATGTAGGTACTAAAATTGAAAGAGCTAACAGTTATACAGTAGACTCGCGCTAGTGTGAACACAAAAAAACCGGACGTGTTCATATTATCGAGATGTTCACACCATCGAAGGTCTACCCAAAACTCCAAAATATTGTCAGCAATGTTCTCTAAACTTAAAATTCAAGAAAAATTAATACAATAGATACTGCTACGTCGTCAGCAGACGCAATCAATTTTTTCTTCCTTTCTTTAAAGCCACAAGAGTGGAGATATCACTCCTCCTTGTGGAGTCCCTCTGTTTTTTCTTTTCCTTATAGTATAGTCACTAGTTTTTGAATTAATGATTCTGCTTTCCAGCATTTTCATTATCCATTGTATGATGACTGGTTCTACCTTCAGGTGCTGCATGGATTTTTCAATGGATTTAATCATTACATTATTGAATGCACCCTCTTATGTCCAGAAATGCACCTAGTGTGTATTACTTATTTTCAAAGATCTTTCAATTGTTCCAACTGCTTCATGCAGTGCACTTTCAACTGACCTTCTTTTCAGGTATGCATGTTGGTCTGGGCATTGCGTGTTTATTCCCGTCAATTCTCTAATGTGTAGATTAGCTTCTCTAGAGTATTTAACAAGAATGATGATAAACTAATTGTTCTATAGTCTTCTGGGGTTGAGATGCTTGATGCCAAATATTTTTAGCATTGTTTCTAGAATGCTTTCCAGGAATTTTTGTAGCATAACTGGCATTACCCCATCGGGTCCTGCGGACTTGTAGGGGTGCAAGGTTTCCGAGATTGATTCCAATTGCTCTTCAAAACTGTTGGTATCTGCTTTTGTACTTTTCTAATGGAGACGCACTTCTCCATTAGAAGCTCGAGGGTTTCCTTGCTGGATTTTGTCCACGTATCGTCAGGCCCTCTGACTCCTGCAGGGACGGTCGAGTTTCTCGAAAGGATTTTCCTTAGCCTAGCTGCCCCATGAGTGTTCATAATGGACTCGCAGAATTTCTGCCATGAGCTCCTTTCCGCCTTTCTGATCTCGCTTCTATGTCAGTTGAAGCTGGTTTCGTATTCGTTCGAATCTTCCTCTTTGCTCTCTCTTTTTGCTTGGTTGAGAAGTTTCCTTGTTTTGATCCTCAGTTGCCTCAATTCCGCTGCCCAACAGGGAGAATTGGTGCTTTTGCGGGGTCGGCCTAAGGGACAAGATTTATGAAAAGTATTTCCTCTAGGACTCTGACAATTTTCTCTATGCTCTTCATGATTGGAGTATTTGACTCTTTGTTTGGAACTAGGTACCAGATTCTTTTTCTCTCGGATATAAAAAAATATGCAATCACTTTTTTATATCCGAGAGGTAAAATATAAGTGGCACATAATATATAAACTTTCGAGAGATGCTGAGGTTAATTTATTGAATAATCAGGTGAAACCGAATTAGAACAGAATGTTATATATAGGAGAGATTGATTTGGCCGATAGTTAGTTGATGGAAGTTTATTACAAATTTTGAAAGGAAACATGCCTAGAATCATGTCTAAACTTTACAATTGATTAAAATGCTAACATCACAAAATTACCAACAAGGTGTTAAAAATGTTCAAGTGACGTTTCGTATTAGTCACCCATATCCCATTTAGCTTTTTAATTATACATTCAACTATTGTCGCAAGTAGCAACGTATTTGGTATGCAAACCATTTTTCTAAATAATGTGACTCAGCCTCCTTACTTTTCAAAGAAATATTATGCAAAAAAAAAAGACTCCGGGTTTTACTCCATTTAATCGAAACAACAACACTTCCTCCGATGTCAGGGAATCAGTCCAGAACCAAAGAGGAAAAAGTAATTCGATTCGAAATTAAAATACCGGCCACAAAAAAAGAAGTTTCTGTCACACTCTAATAAGCACGCTTATTGTTTGGTAAAGCTCTGCCCGATAATGTTGACCTCGTACTATTCGATTTTTAATAAATAATTAGGTGGTTATCTTGCAGTCGATTTTGATCTTTGATATTAAATGAAATTGATCATATCAGTTATATTTAAGTTTCAATAAATCTTTATCTGAAACTAATGAAACTTGGAAGGCAAGGATAGTCTTTAAAAATCAATTCTACAGATATGGAACATTTTAATTTATTCTAGAATATTTGACCTAGATAATAAAATATCTAGTTAATGACTAATTATCCTCTCTTTCATTTCAGCTCCCACTAAATCCCCTTGACCTCACATCCCAAAAGTCTAAAGCATCAGTAGGCCGTACCGTTAACAGACGTCCCCCAACTAGACATCCCAGAAATCTGAACTCTACATTCGCAAGCGATGTTCATAGCCATATAAGAAACGCCCAATTCACAGCGGCAACGAATCTTCACAGAGTATCCAGGTTGTGCCATCAAATTCACGAGTCCGCCGTTAGGAATGCATTTGGGAGAAAATCGCCTGAAAATTCGCGTAGAGCAAGTGTAGATGATAGTAGTGTTAGTGGCGTAGAGATTACGGAAATCGAAAATAGCAGTGCAACGTCAAATAGTGATTTGAACTCTCATCAAAATTTGATGCGAACTAAAAGCAATAGCAGTGATGATATCAATTTAATTCCTGAAAAAGATTCTATAAGAAAAAGTGTGGAAGATTTGGAAGACTTGGAGCAATTGCAAAACTGGAGGAGAAATTCCAAAGTTCGACGAAGTCTACAGTTTCCTAAAGCAACCTCGCCCGAGTTAGAAAGCAATGATACCGACTTGCCAGAAAGTTCGGTCAATGTTAAAAAACTAAGAGATCGATTAGAAAAAGGCAGAAGACTCACCGCAGCCTTAAGAAATAACTCAATATCAGCTGATTTAAATGCTTTAGATGATATTATTCGCTCAATATCCAGTGCCAGTTCCTTGGAAAGAAGCTCAACAGATGATAATTTGGATGAAATTTGTGATAAAGAATCTGTAGTTCCTAAAACAAAAAATAAAAGGGAATCATTTGTTACTGTGGAGTCAATACAGGAAGTTAAAGGACGGTTAAGACGTACTAGTTCCCCAGGAAGTGATGTTTATTCGAAAAATAAAGATGATAGCGAAAGCGATGATGGTATAGATACAGAAGATACCTCTCTAAAAGTAAAATCTTACGTTTATGGTATGGAAAACAATATGGTGAATCTCAAGAAGCCTGTAATAGGTACTGGTAGTTTAGAGTCTCGCTCAAAATTCTCGAATGGCATCAATAATCATAAAAATGAGGACTGGTACAACAGACGTAAATCTTATGGTTTTGAAAAAGTCCATGGCTCTGAAGAACCTTCTTCGATATCCCTCAAAAACAAAAATTTCGTTGAATCAAGCACAGACAGTGGTATTTGTAGATCCAGTGAAATTATGGTTGTACCAACAGCAACAAAGTCGAATAATTTTGATGACGTAGAAAATGAGAAAACTAATCCCATTAACGGTATTCATTACGGTAATGTCAAGAAAATGACCAGCATATTCGACCATCAGGAGGATGAGCTGTCCAAGGCTTGGACTAAGCGGGCGGCTTCTTTTAAAGACGATTGGAAAAAGAACGAAATAAAATCGACAACGATTACAATACCCATAGTTAAAAATAACAATGTTGTCGACCTATCTTGGAACGAGGAGCCGGAAAAGGAAGCAAAAAGAGTGTCAGCGGAATCTAACGGTGATCGTTTTAGAAAGACCAGCTTGAATGATCCATTTTTAATAAATAATGACGATGACAATTTAAATAATATTAACCGAAAAGGTAAAAAGGTAGAATTTTGCAAAACCGAAGTGCATTTTGCAGCTGAGTCTGGTAAAGTTAACATTGTTGAAACTGATGAAAAACCACCTCCTACACAAAATTTCAGACGTAGACGTAGAAATTCTGGTCCTATTAGAGACTATCCAGAAGATTTTAATAAAAATGGCCTACCAATGCTTCATTTTGGCGACAGCTCATACGAAAAAACTATGTTTGGTATAGATAATGAACAAGACGAAAAACAACCCCCATTATCGTCTTTAGAACAAAATAGAATTCCGTCAGCTTTTAGTGTAGTAACAGTTAATAATACTAACGATTACATCCTAGAAGAAGATGAAAGAAAAGAACTATTATTAACAGATAATGATAATTTGAAAGGCATTTTAAAAAACAAACCTATAAAACCCAAACCCTATCATTTAGGTGATAATGTATCATTGAATGACGATGACGAAGATGCGCGAAGATGGGGAGTACGTTTACGACACGTTCCAGAAGAAAATTTACCCATATGGAAATCTACAGTAACCGTCCATAATAATTATCAACAAGACAAAACTAAATCTGAACCGCCCGAATTTCAAAAACTACTCAAAAATTTACGACCTACAACGAAAAAACCCGACTATCTTTCAGACAACGAAAATCGTTACTCCGATAATCTTGGTAATATTCGCGTAGTATCGGCAGTGAAAGACAATAGACGATCGTCGTGGTCTGTAGCCGATAAAGTGAAACTGGTGGATGATATACAAGAAAACAAAGGATATTCTACTAAAGTGAATTTTGGTAATGGCGAAGCTACTGTAGTCCAAAATGATCAGAGTACGTGGCCACGGATGGAGAACCTATCGAAGGGTAAGGCAAAGACTTAAGGTTTTGGTAATTAACGTACAGTTTAACTATACTATTCATGTGGATAGGCTATTTCGAATAATCCAGTGCGTAGATTCCAGGAGCAAATAACTAGCCAAATGGTTCCATGGAACTATTATATTTACGCATGTTATATAATTGAGTGGATTTGTTTCGGTTGACCCATTTACAATATAGTTGACACTAATCTTTATATTGAAGAAGCAAGGGGCAAGTTTGCTCACATATAACAAAGTGTTCAGGTCGATAAACTTCGCATTTGGCAGAGGTAATGAAACAGAAAGTTACGACATTGTAACATTGGTTTGTGTCAATCGATTGTCGGCTGTCATTGTCATTCGTTGTCGTTCTCCGTCACTCTACGTTATATTTTTCTTCTCTCTCGTCTAACGAAATTTTCCAAAACGTGACGCGTCTTTCAAATCTCTTTCCATTCTTGTCCAAATATCAGACCGCCGCCTTTCACTTCAAAAATCACAGCACACGGAGCACACAAACGTTTAAATAACGAAAATAGTCACAAAACCCAATGACAATTGTATAACAAAAGGGAGACGGGCATCTGTAGTGACGTCACAAGGATATTGGCGCTTATCAATAATAGGCAATCGTCTTTGCGCTTATAATCCTTAGTTTGTGTCTATCAATAGCTTTCTTTCTCCGTCTCTTTGCGTTTATTTCTTTCTTCTCTTTCGAGTAACGCAGTGCAGCGCCGTACACGTGGTAGAAGTGAAACTTCTCAAAAACTATCCCTCCCCCCTCAACAACAACTTTTAAACTAATGATTGGTTCACATTTTGGTAAATGAAAGTGTGTGTCAAATGTTGATTTGACAGGTTGAGGACCGGTTTATCCATGATTAAAAATTCCAGTTGAATTTAATCTCCGGTTAAATTCAAAGTTGGTGTCAAATGATAGTTTATAAAAATCTAAGATAGGAATGTAAAATCGGTTTTCGTCTAAAATTAACCGGTTTTACAGCCTGTCAAAGTTGCAAAAAGTCAATTTTCAACTGTCAATATTTCCAAAACAGTTGAACTTAGGTATAGGGTATATTACATGGAATCTGCTCAGAATTTTACGTAGAATCCAAATATGCAATCACATATAGGGTATTCTATTTAAAAATATTCAAAAATATTTTCAAGTAATGCATATTAGAGGATCAAACAACTTTGTAATTTAATTTTTTTTTCTTGCATCACCCTGTAAGGAGATATCGTCCGATATCGCACTAAGTGGAAACCCTGTATAAGTTTGTATATCGAGGATGAAACCAGACTTCTGATAGTTTTATAATTTAAATAAATGTGATCAAGTAATCACAAAACGTAGGTACCTACAAGTACACAATTCTTTTCCTTTGCCAAATGCGACATCTAGCGACCTGAACATTTTGCGAACTTGCCCCTTGTCCCTAATGATGAGGTTTTCTATCCTCGAAACAATTCATTTCACACAACCATATTAATTTCAAATAATCTCGGTATATTTTCAATTAAAATTATTTTTTGTGATCAAAGAAAAAAACCTGTATCAGCAAGAACTATCTATCTACTAAATGCATAGATACCTACTAATAATCATATCGGTCAAGGCGTTTTTATGTCTACCAGTCTATACAAACACATACACTCATTGTAATGTGTAATTTTTTCAATTTGATACGTTTCCTATTATACAATTATTTTAATTACTGCATGACTGTGATTCTCAGTGGTGCACAAAATATTATTTTTCACTTGTTACACCACTGGTAATAATAATTATATAGTAGAAATAAAGGTGGTTATTAAAACTTTGTTGGTGTTGGATATTAACAACAATTAAATATTTTTAAACTAGTTGGTAGATGTTCATAAATAGAGGCCAAATAAATCCTACAAAGGTGTGTTAATCGCACCCACGCATGCTAGGACAAATATTCATGGCTTGAATTAATCTAGAATTATGTATATATAAATGGATATAAGTACGGCATCGATATACACAAAAATTAATGTCAAAAATCGTCGATTTCGTTCACGGTTGACCTCTTTTACTTGCTTGTAAGCGGCAATATAATAAGTTATATATCATTGTCTACCTAAGCCCGGTAGTAGGTACCCAGCTGCAAGGCCTGTTTTAATTATCAAAATAACAAGACAACCAAGGTCTCCACAATAATCGGAATAAGTAATAGTTTGACTTAAATTTAAAACAGTTATCCTTAGCTAGACTCGGTTAGGTACAACATTCACTGTTACACTTACATAAATTGTTTGGTAGTTACGGTTAACTGATTGCCTACCTATAACACATATGCTTAAAATTTTTAAAAAATTATAGAACAAAACATTGTAATTTTGTAGTGTACCTTTCTTCTCTTTATGCATGAAGCTCAGTAGTGTAGATTAACAATCTTTTAGTAGCAGTGTTGGATAGAATACGTAGAAAAAAGTAAAACACTGCTTGACAGATGATTATTCCTTCCACAGACTCCAAACAAATTCTGAACAAAGGATTAGTCGTACGGATCGGTAGACAGGATTCGGCAAGTAAACATACCGTGTGCTCTAAAACTACTAGACAAAATAATAGTACCACCACCACAACGACGAAAATCACCATCGACTTGGCACCATCACCACCGACGAAAGATAAACCTCTAACCTATACCAAATTTAAACGATCTCAGAATCTACAACATAGCTTTAAGTCTACACCGTTGGTGCTCAACATGCTCAAAGACCAAAAAGAGGCTGTTAATAAGGTTCCTCAACAATTAGAGGTAGATTCCTTAATTTTTTATTCACGCTTATATCTCAACTGTTATCCAAATGATCCAACTTCTGTATAGCTTTTCTAAGTAAAGTTTTCAATTCATTTATCCATTTTCCAATTTCTTATTTTTGTTCTCAATTGTCAGCTTCACTCTTACCAACTGTATCCTGTTGAACATCCATGAAATCTTTGAAGCATCCCTAATAGTACCTCTCTCTGAGTTAAATACCATCTTCAGATTTTCAAGCTTGAAATTCTTTAAATAATCTCTGACATATAAATTTTAAATTGAAATAATTAAATTAGTGACCCTCTTCGTATTTTCCCAAGGCCTTAAGAAAACTATACAACGATGTTCCTAGCGACGAAGCTGAATGCGACGCCGACAGAGAAGTGCAACAGTTGCTGAGTAGAGTAACTGAAAAAGAACTGACTAGTTTAGAAAGCGACGCCAGTAGCGTAGTATCGGGAAGCTGGAGTAAGATGAAAGCTTTCAAGAATTTTGCTGAGGCCAGCAATAGGAGTAGTTTTAGGGGAGTTAAGTCGAAATTTGATCTCAAAAATGCTAAAGATATCGAAGGTACACTGCAAAGTTATATTTTATTTTAATATAAGTATAAAAAGAAAATCTTAATTCTAATATTAAATTTGTTTTTCCTTAGATGTAAATTCACCGAGGTTGAAAAAAGTGGAAGATTCCGCCAAACCTACTGCCACATACAATAAGTATAGCATTCTTCATAGCGGTAGTAAATTTTCTCCGGTAGTTTTAAGAAAATCAATTCCCATAATGAAAACGACTGAATCTGTAGAACTGAAGCCTTCAGAAGAATTATCTTCAATAGTAAATAAGAAATCTGAAAGCTCAATTATTAATAATAGACACTCTCCTACTAGAGAATTTAAAAATTTGCCCGACGCCAAGCTTCAAGCAAAGTATGTCAATGAGAATATTGTGTTAAGGCAACCGAAAAAGTCCGAAATGACCTATTTTGGTGTAAATGTTGCTTCAAGGGAAAATGTACAAACGGCTGTGATTAAAAAAGATCAAAAGCCTTTGCTGCAGAAGCCAGATATTTTGCAACACCATCATAAAAGGCCACCATCTCCGCAAAGAATCGTAAAACCTAGAAGGCCTTTACCAGATAAGAATAAAGAATCACCTATCTACGAAAATTTAAAGCCTGCACCATTAAAATCAAAATATTCTGGCCACGTGGATTTTGATTCTAGCATACTGGATGAACTTACGAAAGCTGCTGACCAAATCTTGCTGGTGAATATAATTCAAAATGTTCATATTTTTTTTACGCAGAAATAATTTTAGGCTGTAAATGGTTACACCTCCGAAGACTGTCACACCAGATTAAGCTCAGACGAAGAAGAATCTAGGAAACCTTTGGATACAATATCAGAAACCAAATCTTGGAAACACTCAAATCAAGACCTGGAAATAAAAAACCAGCAAAGAATGAGGCCCACCTTAGCTAGTGCGGCTAAAATGAAGGTAAAAAGAACATCTTCGACATCTTCAGTGGAAAGTTTATCAAAGGATCCTAGGAGGAGAGGTAGCTTAACCGAAAGAAGATCTACTACAAGTAACAAACAATATTCCAATAAATATATCAATTATTGATAAATAAATTTATTTTTTAGCTCCACTAGTGAAATCTGCCCCAACAGAAAAACCCAACAACAAAAAAAAACCATCTACAGAAGTAACATCCATTAAAGCAACAACAAAAGCCAGGCGACTTCAGAGAGCCTCGAGCAGAGAAGCGTTGCTGCAGTCTCACGGAAGCTCTTCCGAAGATTTGCCAGCTAATATCGAAGCACCTGCGAGGAAGCCTAGATTAATTAAAAAAACTAAGACAGCTCAATTGACTATGACAAATGGGCTGGAGTTGAAGAAACCTACGAGACGGAGGTCGCGCGAAGAGAAAGTAGAAACCGGGAAAAACGATACAAGGTGAGCGGTGCTACATTGACAACTCTTTTTTTTTCGTAACGTAACTTTGAAATGATAAACTTCACTTTTGCTGAAAACTATTTTCATTCTATCAATCAGTGATTCCAAATAGTTTTCGACAATTGACACTTTGAACTTTTTTATTTTCACTATTGGGATTAAAATAGTATACCAATTGATCGAGTGTTGGTTAATATATAATATAGGATTAAGTAAATAGGGTTGATAGTATAGGATCTGGCAGGTTTTTCGGTAAACGATATTTATCAAAATTTTTATTGATAAATCGTTATTGTTACCTGGACATACCAAAACTGACCGTCTGCCGTTTCAGGGTGGCAGCTTTAATCGAGGGTTTAATTTTCAAAAGGGACGAATTTTCATTTTGGTAAACGATATTTATCATGACCGAAATTTTCGGAAACGAATTAACAGTTTGAGGACTCAAAGTTACACAGGCAGACGATTTCTTTGACAGCATAACTTCGGCAGACGCCTGTCAAATCTGATGGCATCTACTTCGGCTGTTTGCCGAAGCAGAAAAACACTCTAATGGAAGAGAGACAGTTAAAAGTAGGTATTAGGTACATGCTCTACCTCACCAGGGCGGACAGCTGGAAGTATCTTGGCATTGACTTCTGCCCAACCGGACGCGTTAAGTACTATCCAAGCGCAGATAGAATCCCACTCCTTGATGGGGCTATCGGCAGCACCACTTAAGCCACAACATACTTCATGCCTTGAGATTTTATGTTATTCCAAAACTCTTCCACAAAGTGGCACTAGGCAACGTAATGGTGGGCTGCCTTCTGAAAGGAGATTGACTCATTAGATCGTGCGTCAGGAAATGGCTCCACCTACCACACGACACCCTCAGTGCATTTGTACATGCCAGCATAGAAAACGGTGGACTTGTGATCCCGTCGCTTAGATAGGAGGGCCCCATGATCAGAAGGTGGAAGCTGCTCAACCTTCAGCTGCCGTTGCTCGATGACAACTACACAACCAACTACTTTTTGGCAGCTGAATTGGACAAAGTGGAAAAGCGTAAATGCAATGAATGGAACTTGAGGCTCACAGCACACATCAACAGAATGTGGAAAACTAAATTATGTGACATAGTGGGCGGCCATGGCCTGCGGGAAGCCGCCAAGGTACCGCAGGCATACAGATGGATCAGAGAACCGACCCGGCTCTTATCTGTGAAGGACTTCCTGAACTGCATAAGAACAAGAATTAATGCCCTGTCTACTCTCTCTAGAACAACTAGAAGCAGGCCAGAATTAGACTGCTCCTGAGAGCTGGATGCCAAGGACCAGAAACATTGAACCCTGTCCTTCAGCAATGCCCAAGATCCCATGGTCTTCGAATTAAAAGACACGACGCCTTGGCGATCTACCTGAGGAGAAATTTAAACACTCAAGACTACGTAGTACTGGCAGAGTCGATAATTAAAGTGGACAATGCAATCCTGAAACCCGACATTGTCGCAATCAAAAACGACCATTGCTTAGTCATCGACACGCAAGTGGTCACTGACTCTATCGATCTGGATCTTGCCCATGCAACGAAAAAAAATAAGTATGGAAGCGTACCATTTCATAATACCTTCAGAAAAACGACAAAGGACAAAGGCAAAAGATTCAAGAACAACGTCATTGACAGTGAATCGAGAGGGTATTTGCTCTGGGAAATTTTATGCCGATTTAATTGAAAGTAAAATTATCCAGCCGACGGAAGCAGCGATAATCAGCGTCCGTGTTACAATGGGGAGCGTAATGATAGGCTCCCTTTTCAGCAAGAACACGTAGATCTGGAGAAGAAGACCTCCGCGGCCACAACCACCAGGACCTAGACAGAATTGAAGAGACTCAAGTACAGGCCCATCTTAACCGGCACGATTATGGAATGGAAACCCTGACGCCTGGGGCTCGGGCGTAAGATGATCATTATGCCAGCGTCTGCCAAAAAAACGCTGCTGTCTTTTTCGTCTGCCGATATTTTTTCTGAGAGTACGTTGGTGAAAGAATCAATATAAAAATATTGATAAACTCAAAAATTACAAATTTGACAGGCGTCTGACGAAGTTATGCTGTCAAACAAATCGTCTGCCTGCGTCATTTTCATAAGTCCTCAAACTCTAGTCTATAGTTTACCAAAATGAAAATTAATCCCTTTTCAAAATTTAACCCCTGATTAAAGCTACCACCCTGAAACGGCAGACGGTCAGTTTTGGTATGTCCAGGTAACTCACAATTATGATTTATAAAAAAAAAAAAAAATGATAAATATCGTTTACCGAAAAACCTGCCAGCTCCTATACTATGAGGGCAAATTTGATTTTGAATCATTACGAACAAGAGCTTGGTGGGAGCCCCAAAACAATTCTAAAAGGTTAAGGCAAGGAGTGCTGCGTTGCCAAATTGACGTCAAAGTATATTATTTTGTTTGGGTTAGATTTTCCTAGCAGCGGACAATGTTTGTTGTTTAACGAGTATGAAAAAAGCAGTTTTTAAAATATGGAGGTAATGTTTTCAAGTTGCAGAAAATTATTTTTGACGAAAATTGTTTATTTTTCAATGGTCAGAAAAAAAGTTCTTTGCAGATGCTAGCTTGTTTGTGCAATGAAAGATTTGGATTTGTTGGAATTTTCGACCTTTTTATACAACAATCGTAAACAGGATTGCTCATCATAGTAAGGCGTACGTTCATCAATTCTTGAGTAGGCAGGGTCTACGCGTGACGTCGCCACAGCTGCTAATAGCGATGACGTCACCCGCAGACCTCGATGGAAGGCTTGCGATTCAGGCTGTGGTCGTTATTTGATTTTTTCGTCGATTTTAAATGAAGAAAAGGTGATTTTAACAAGAATTTAACGTTTAGGAATTAATTTTTTTGTGTGCTTTAAACTTGAATAATGCATTTTACTCCAAGAGTGGAGGTCTGCGGCTGACGTACCAGTTGGCAGACACTTTTAGCTCAATAAGCAGTTCCACTATGGATTAGAAACAGGATAATCTCTGCCATTTTCTGGACAGCTGAAACTAAGATGATCCTTTTTTTTCCTACGAATGTACGGAAAAAAACTTTTGGCATGCACAAAGAGTAATCTTTCCGCACGCCCTTGGGAAAAATTGGGTTCCTTTAAGCCTAGTACTCATAACTGCGAAATTCGCTCTTTTTTGACATTGCCTCGACAATTTAACGTTTGATTCACGCATAAAACGTCAAATTATCGAAGGAATGTCAAAAAAGAGCTAATTTCGCTGTTATGAGTACTAGGCTTAACGCTTGCGACAAATGGTATTTCCCTCACTTGTTAGAAAAATAACTATTTTTTTCCGAATTTGATATGAAAAAATTTTCCGCCCTGTAGGAAAACAAACGAGTTTCCAGTTCCACTCCAATCAAAAGGCAGTGCTTCAAAATACAAAATTTGTAGTTTCAATTTTATTCAATTATGAAATTATAAAAGGTTATTATATTCTCTGTCCACTCAAAACTCAAAAGGCCAGGATAATAATTGGTCTGTTTCTGCAGAAATCACAAACCAGTCAGAATGAATTTCATTGGTTGAAACTAGTTTTCTGACTTTTTCTGACTGTTTTCAACCAATGAAATTCGCTCTGACTGGTTTGTGATTTCTGCAGAAACAGACCTAAAAATAATAAACAGCTGGGGTGGCGTGGCGTGGCGCTGATTCCAGTCCAAACATGAAAATGCCAAAAATTGCAACGTCGCATATAAATTGTTTCGGGGCTACCACTAAGCTCTTGTTCATTACGATGCCATGGAATATTGTGTGAAAAAAATGCTTTATCCAACATCCAGAACATGGAGTTTATTATATCCAAATTTCACGCCTTCAGGAAGTTGTGTGGAAACAGAATAACATGAATTCCTGCGTTCTTATGGGGCAGGCTCGTATTTCAGCTAATTTTTCAAGGTGTCTCCGGAAATCTTCTCAATGCCCATTTTCTGGTACATCATTAGTGGATTAATTTTTTATTTTCGTGCTGCTATTGACCCCTACCAGTATCAATAGGTTTGTCCATGTCATTGAATTTGGTTGACTGGGAATTTTTATATTCGACATTGCTACAATACCTTTTCCTCCCTTAACTACTTCATTACAATAGCGTCGGAATCGTTATTCAAAGACATCATTTCAAAAATTTATAATACGATTAGGTTGTTACCACTATTCAGACTCCCATAAGTGAGGCTGCTGCAGCTATGCATCACTCATAACAAAATGTCAACCAATCATGTCAAACCAAATCCCAAAACAACACTTGTCGGAGACCTTAATAGTGAAATCACTGTCGTAAATTTTTGATATTCAACCGCATACATATTTTCTCCATTTAAACTCTGATTTCGTACTCATTGGCCACCTCTAGTATGTCCGGATACTGGAATATTCGAGGAGTTTGATCTTGAAGGAATAATCTAGCCGACAAACCATATAGATCGGTGTTACCGAAGATTTCTAGTAACGCATTCTCGAGAAAATTAGAGAAGGCTTGCGACTTGCAAAAGAGTTTCGAATTGAACATGAAACGAGCTCAAGACGTTTGGATTGGACAGTAAAGCGATCAGATATATGTAGTGATAATCATCATCATCATAAGCATTCTCTTGCTCTGTCTTGCAGTTCCTCCTTTCGGTTTCGCGTCGCTGTTCTTCAAAAGTTTGTGGTCCGTCGTGGACTTCTCGACACCATGAGGGCCGTCGTCTCTCAGTTGCTGGTATCGATGCAGCATACTCTACCATATTCTTTCTAAGAACATCCTTGTAACGTTTTTGTTGACCTCCCTGATTCCGATTTCCCCCATTCAGTTGTCTGTAGAGAATCTGTCGTGGACGACGTGTTTCGGGTATGCGGACGACGTGACCTGTCCAGCGAAGTTGTTGCTTAATGATGAGGGCTTCCATGCTAGTTGTTCTAGCCTCATCTAGAACACTAATGTTCGTTTGTCGGTCCTGCCATTTAATCCGTAGGATCCTTCTAAGGCAGCGCTCGTGGTATTTTTCTAGGCTTTTCATGTGTTTTCTATAGGTGGTCCATGTTGCGCAGCCATATGTAAGTATTGGTATTACAACTGCATTGTAGACGTGAAGTTTGGTCTTAGCGCTGATGTCTTGATTGTTGAAGACTCTCTGTAGAAGTCGCCCGAACGCCGCGCTAGCACACATAAAGCGATGTTGGATTTCAGCGTCAATGGTTGCATTCGCTGATAAATGGCTCCCAATGTATGGGTAGTGTTCTACGTTCTGCAAAGAATGGTCATTTATAGTTATATTTGGGACTTGAAGATTAGTATGCGAAGCGGGTTGGTGGTCTTATTAAAGTTGGCTTCTCGGCTGATTCTCCTGTATGGCTGGTTGAATGCATTGATAATTGCCTAAAAATCTTCCTCTGTATTGGCCATCAGCCGTATATTGAAGTTCAATTAACGATGTTGTCGATACTTTCATCTTGCCTCGTAATCTGTTTGACCTTCAACATAGTGAAAATAGAGTGGCTGCAATAACACAGCCCTGTTCAACGCCTGTAGTTATTTGGAAAGACCCTCCTTGTCCATCATTGGTTAGGACGGTTGCATTAATATTATCATGCAGCAGGCGGAGTATCTGGATGTACTTTTGCGGACACCCAACCTTTACCATTATCTTCCAAAGAGCTTTTCTGTTGACTGAATCGAATGCTTGTATCAAATCTAAGAAGACCGTGTATAGAGGGCGATTTTGTTCTCTGGATTTCTCTTGCATTTGTCTTGCTCTGAAAATCATGCTGTACTTTGATTGGGTCCGCGGTTGGGTCGGAAGCCACACTGTATCTCTGAGAGGTTCTGTTCGTATTGATAATATAGTTTTGCGAACAGTTATGTTGAGGGTTGTCATCCCAGGAAGACGCATAATTTGGGTGAAACAAATTTTGTAAATTGCTAGACAAAATTTTCAAAAAATAACAAAAACGAAGAGTGAAGATTTTTTGGGATATCTTCATTGTTATACAGCTTTCATCAATTGCGCATTGAAAAACAACAGTTCAGGATTCCTTTTTTTTTCGATTTTGCTAAACCTTTTACACTCAATCGAAATTAGGTACCTATTTAATTTATATGAAACGAAAGTGTATTTCTTATATACTACATAAAAGTATGGTTGGTTAGTTTTTTTTTTAAATCTTGAACCCGGAAATTAAAAGAAAAAAATGGCAAATTATTTGTTATTGAAGAAACTATATTCGAAATAAGCGTTGTCAAAAAATCTACATATTTTCAAAATTATTGATTTTCGGAAGAACAGTAATTCGAAGTCAATGTATTCAAAATGGTTGATTTTCGATATAAAAGCATTCGGAAAAATCATCCGAAATTTGTGTTTTCGAAAAATGAACATAGACCCGTAATGCCGGATTAAAATTGCAAATTAACTCAAACTAACCGGGTTATATTAGGTCTGTTTCTGCAGAAATCACAAACCAGTCAGAGCGAACTTCATTGGTTGAAAACTGTCAGAAAACTAGTTTTGAACCAATGAAATTTACTCTGACTGGTTTGTGATTTCTGCAGAAACAGACCTATTATCGGTAAGTTTGGTAATGTCTGATCAAACAGAAAAAGTGTAAATAATTTCCATTATTAGCAGCTTTCGTATCTTTGAATAATATAAGTAGGTATTTTTTCTAAAAAAGTTGACTATTCAATACCCTATTTTTGAACACTTTTCGTAAACAAAAAATGTTTGGCTATCTTGGCCAGCAGATAGAATTACGATAAACACATTATTTAGTTTCGGTTTCACCGACGTCTTAGAGACTTTCATGAGAATTTTTTTGTCTAGAGATAGTCAAAATTACTGGTTTTCAAAAAATGTTGCTATAATACTGTGAAAGGAAAAGCAACGAGCTATCCAACGATGTGCAACACAAGGTAGGTTCGTATTAAAAAGAAAAATAAGTTGGGATAGCTACCGAAAAATGCCTCATTTTGTTTTCCCCTCCAGTTCCCCGATACGTACTTGAGATCTTCCTGATACTCCTAATAGTATGTTTTGCCTGAAAGATATTCCTGATTTCTACTTTTCAACTTGTCACCCGGTATGTGGAGAAAATTGGACATTGACCGTTAGTGTTGTAGGTATAAGTACAAGACCAAAAATTAGCACAATTTTCACTTTTATTTTGGAATTATGACTCATGATATAACTCAGAGTTCTGACTTAGATCTTAAAATTCTGACTTATATCTCAGGATTCTGATTTATAACTCAGAATTCTGACATATCTGAGGATTCTGACTTTTATCTCAGGATTCTAACTTATATGTCAGAATTATCACTAACCCAAATTCGGATGGCACTTCTACGTTTTCGTAGACACTAGGGGCCAGTCAGTGTCAGTGAGTTCAATAGTGTTGTTTCGTTCAGTTCAGCCTGCTGTTTTTTGTTGTTAAGCTAATTATTGTTTATTTTGTTTGTGGTGGAGAAAAGGTTTGTAAAAGCCGATTCCGGAAATTGGCCACAGGTGAGCATGGAAATGCTTTCGTAATTTATGATTTCCAATGCCGACGATTTCAGTGCCGAAATTTAAAATGTAAAATTAAAACTCACAGCACAACACTAGACGGTGGATTTGAAACAAATAAAAATTTTCACATTAAGGTTAGGTAGGTATTTAAGTAAAATGCAGGTAGAGCAACCTTCCCCAAACAATGATTCCCTTATTGGGTAGGAACTTCTGAAAATTTAGACGCACATAATAAAAAATGAGTATAAGATTATGAACATTGACATAATGCCGAGCATAATGCTATAATGTCCTTACGTGGTTATAGTTTTAGGTTTGTTTCTTGATGGTTTGTGTGCCTTCGCCCTTCTGCCTGTTTTGGCCAGGGTAATAAAGATAAATATTGAATGAAAAAGTTGGGTTAAATTTTTCATCAACTTTTTCATAGGGATGAGAATCGATTCTATATTTCGATACTTACAAATCTATGGATTCGATATATCGATTTAGTTGTCCCCGCCAGGAAAAGTCTGCATTAAATCCATTAACATCTGGGCAATACTAGATAAAATTGACCAATCAGAAATTTGGTGCCATGACGTCAGGGGCCCAAGAAATTTGAACTTGCTTGCGACTCCTCTTCCCAATGAGCAAATCAAAAAAATCCATGAAAAAAAGCTGAACTGGGTCTCTCTAAATAAACATTGGTTAGCGGAAATTTTTGATCCGACCCGAGCGATCGGCGACGTATGCTTTAGCTTGTTTACTGATGAAAAACATAAACATGCACGCTTGTATCCATAAATTTGAGGAAAACAGCCTTAAAATTACTGTTGTTGGTCTAAAGTTGGTGCCGTTTATGTTGTGGAGTGATAGCGAAAGGAACAAATCCGAAATTCCCCAGCGCCTGACAAATCCAGACCGCATGGTCATCAGTCTTACGAATCGAGTCCTTACTGAAGAGGAAACAGCCGTCTTGGCAAAAGGCGGTAATTTCGCAATCACTCCACAACATCTGCCAAAGGGAGGAGATTATAGCCAGCACTGAAGCAGCCATCAGAGCACTACCTGGTGTGGAAGCAGAAGAAATTCGTATTGAGACGGCCAACATTCTACGAAAGGCTCGACCACCAGCCAGTAACCTCTCTAAGAAGGAACTAATGGCAATTAAGAACCTGAATTCAGTGGAAGATATGATCATCCTACCTGCGGATAAGGGCAACGCAACTGTCCTGGTAAGAACTGAAGACTACAACCGGAAAAGTCAGGAACTCCTTGATCCATCTACCTACCGAAAGCTAAAGAAGGATCCCACCCAAGCCATACTTCGGAACACCAACAAACTAATTAGGTCATCTACCCTAACAGACACGGTTAAGAAAGGCATCATAGAAATAGAAGCGGTTTCACCACGACTCTACGGCCTATACCCAAAATTCACAAACCTGAAGTCCCGCTGAGGCCCATAGTGAGTGCACCTGGAGCACCAACGTACAACCTAGCGAAACATCTTGCATCTCTTCTTCAACCGCATGTGGGAAAAACTAGCTCTTACATCGAGGACTCCGATCACTTCGTCCAGAAAATTAGGGATATTATCCTCCAACCTAAGGATATCCTGGTCAGCTTTGATGTCGTGTCTCTATTCACAAAAGTGCCATTGACGAAATTTCTTGACTTGATATCAAGTACCTTCCCCAATGACATAGTTGAGCTTTTCCGGACATGTCTCACTGGTAGTTACTTCCTGTGAAACGGAGATTTTTGCGAGCAAACAGTGTATGGAATCCATGGAAAAGGAGAAAAATCAAGAAATCGCCTTCTTGAGATGTACTCATAAAGAAATCTGGAGGAAAACTAAGCCACATGTGTACAGGTACCTGCATGCACTCTCAAACCACCATCCAAGGCAAAATTGTGGATTTGTGGAGTTATAACAACGTTCACAGAATGTGATCGGAACATCTGAGAGCCACAACATCTCGAGCAAGAATTGGATCACCTCAAGTCGGCCTTTCTATCAAATGGATACAATACATCTGAAATCGACAAGGCCATGCAACCCAAAACGACCACACGACAAACCGTGGATGAACAACCAGTGGTGGCTAATGCATATCTGCCTTTCATTTCTCGGATGACAGACAGGATAGGGCAAGTCTTGAAGAAGCACAACATAAAAACGATCTTCAAGCCAACAAGGAAAATACAGCAATCAATCAGATCAGCCAAGGATAAGAGGAACCCACTGTCAACCGCTGGAGTCTATCGTATACGATGCACATGTGGTGAGGTATACATAGGAACAACAAAAAGAAACACAAAAACTCAACAAATTTGAAACCTGATCCTCAAAAACGCAAGAAAGATTCCATTGAGTACAGAGAAAGTTCAGATTAGCCACATGCTGGGAAGCCCCGCCCCTCCCCCACCACAATCACTCACACATAAATACAACTTGCGGTCGAAAACGCGTCAGTCTGCTACCAGAATCGGACATAGACGCACCTCTGAAGATGCTAGCCACGCGTGGTAGAGAAACGCCAGGAAGAAATTCCAACCTAGGATGGCCATTAAGCCCGAATGAAAACAATTTATCAATAAAGCTGGGCCGCGAAAGCCTCACAAACTTTATCCCTAATATTACACCAACTTTGTATTTGTTTTAAAAAAGAATTGAAATTTTCCCTGCTTTCGCTCGAAGAAGTTATGTCCCTTGGCTCCTTCTTCAAAAACGCCGATCTTTTTCTTGATCAATATTTTGTTTGTTTTGTAGAATATTGGGAAGTCTTCCAGAAATCCGACATAAAACCGCCGTATCTACGATAACGAGTACAGCCGAAAAATGTTCCAGGGATCGATCCAGGACGCGAAACGACGACAGCAAGTCCAGAAGTTATACTAAAAGGGAAGGTAGTGGCAAAGGCAAGTACAATTATTGAAAACAGTTTATTAAATTTATCAAAACATTTCTCTGCTCACTCAAAAACGAAGTTATGTTCAGAGATTTATCACAGGTTTTATCATAACATAACGGCATTCGGATAATAGGTTTCAACGAAAATCTCTAGTCACAAAGATTTATTTCAACAAGATATTATTTTTACATCTATTTATCAACAAAATGAATATTGTGTTCCCTGAGATATTTATTCGCGCATTTGTTGAAACGTATTATTTGAGTTATCTTTTGAAATGCTATGATATAACAATATTTGGTATCGTACGAGTCATCTTTAAACACAGCTCATGGTCTCTCTTATCACCCCAACCACCATTTTCCATCATTTTTGGCCTACCTACCTTGGTTTCAGTCAGTTCAATGTTCGTGGGATAAAGACCAAGTGATTTTATCTCATTTTTGACCCCAGCTAATACTTTTCCTACGTCACAATTGGCGTTTCGGCTATGAGTTCCACTAAAATATTTTTATTATAGTATTCAAGATTCCTTTATTATTTTATGTACTCACCACTCTCCAATATGAAAAACCCTTTGTGCCCTAAGTATCATGGATAATTTCGGTCCTTTACCACATTTATTTGTGATGTAGTTAAGACTCCAATCCCAATTATAGTCGTCAAACTCGCAAAACTCTTTAGCGCATTTTTTTATAGAATCTAGATAAGTTTCTCTATTGAAAGCCAAACCTAGATTGGTGTGGAAAAGAGACATTATAGCCTGATTTGAGGGCCCGGGTTTCATAATATCCAGTCCCAATCCTAGGAATTTACACTGAGGCTTTGTTTCGCATTGTCGACCCATTAACCTCAACAAGTGTATAAAATCTTCTGCGACATAATGATCTTCTTCTAGAAAAAGCACGAAACCTGAATATTTTTTAGTGGCATTCAAATTGTTGAAAACGTGGTTCATTTTCCACCACCAATGGTGTTTGATTTGAGTAAACTTCGATTCTCTGTAGTGGCTAAATTTGTCGGGGTATTCGGCGTTGAGGCATCCAATTTGAAGCGCTCTGTTGAAGAAATTAGTAATTTATATTTAGAGCCGAATTATGCTGATCAACAATAAATGGTAAGGATTCTATAGGAAGGTTTATCTGAGGAGTATAGTATATAGGTGAACGTCAAGACCTAATGATTTTAGTTTTACTGCAGTGATAAAATCCCAGTGCAGTAACCTATCTCCTAAAAAGGCAAAAGCCTAAACAATAAAAAACAGCATGGAAATTGTTAAAAAGGGAAGAAAACATAGCGAAAACAACGGGAAAAATAAATTAAGGTCAATCCGAGTTACGAGGGTGACATTGGGTGAACTTTTAGGGGTGGAAAATGGCTTCTCAAGATTTCCAGCGGAACTACATCTCCTATCGGAAAAAGTTGAATTTAAAAGTTGTAAAAAAATCAAGTTTTTTCAGTTTTTCGCATTTTCTGCCAAATTCTTCCATAGTAATGTTCGTTTTTTTTCTACACCAGCTTAAAGTAGACGTTTCAACGAAAAAAAAGACCATTGTGTTTTTTCCAAAAACTTTTTCTTGAACATGGGCATTTTTGGGTGAAAGGTTTAAAATCAAAATAAAATGTAAAAATAAATATTTTCAAGTGAAAAAATTACAGCTTGTTTGGGGCATGAAAAGGTAAGTTTTCATCAAATTTCGTGAACAAAATAAAATTGTGGGGGATAGAAATCAAAAACAGAAAATCCGGCTTTTTCAATTTTACTCTGTAAATTTTAGGTTATGTGAAAAAATGGTGCATACAAAAGTTGTAGACCTCTTAATTACCTACAACTTTTATATTCAATTTTTTCCGATAGGAGATGTAGTTCCGCTGGGTATCTCAAGAAACCATTTTCCACCCCTAAAAGTTCACCCCATCTCACCCTCATAACTCGGATTGACTTTAATTTATTTTTCCAGTTATTTCCGCTATGTTTTCTTCCCTTCTCAACAGTTTTTGCCTAAGGAAAAATGTGTGAATTTGTGCTTGTATATTTCGAATTGGACCTGTTATTTGTATCAGATTTGTTTTATTGTATGCCTTTTTGATGTCGAAAATACATAAATCTCCTCCATTGCGAGAAATAGGGACCCTTTGATCTTTATTTGCTGATTTATTGTTTTTTTTACACCTCACCCAGTAAAGGTAACCTGAACTTTTCGTTGCTTGAAAAATCGCTTGACATAAAATGTTCTTACTTTTGCTTTCCTATATTCCTTGGGCAATCTCTAACATCAGCTCCTGGGAAAGTATCCGGATGAGTTTGAATTGAATATGGGAAAAATATTTGCATCACTTTACAGAATTTTATAGCTTTGATTAAATCATTTATTTCTTCCTCATAGATATCGTGGGAAAAAATTATTAGTGCTTGGTCAATATATCTGGCTTTGGCTAGAGAATCTATTAGGTGTTGTAAGTAGTTGACACGTTTGTGGACCTGGCAAATAACGAAAATTATGATTAATTTACAAAGAATATGAAATATACATACTTGTACTAGGATGACCAAAGAATCGTTATTCAAACGTCCAAAAATGTCCTCATTATATATTATTTGTTCCTTATTAGCTTCTTCAATTTTAAGTTTAATATATTCAACTTCATTTTTTTCAAATCCTTTGGTATTATTAGCCTGTGCCATTTTTAATAATTTAGTATCAATTTCAGTTCCAGTATCTAGCGGATTTCCAGTTGTTATATTTTTGTCATGTTTTATATTTTTTTCAAATCTATCCATTAATAGATACGGCTGTTGTATTTTTGATTCAAAACTTTCACTAGGAAATCCATTCACTTCTCTTAGATGTTGAGGCATTTTGCTGTTATCATCTACAGTATTCCTCATTGTGACGTAAATCCAAATAATAATTAGGAAGAATATTACAACAAACGTCTTAACCCCACAAGCTGCAATGTTTCCCAATTTACGTAAAACAGCTGCCAAGATTATCACAAAGAAGTATCTGGTCAATCTAAAAGTAAAAATAAAAATCAAATAATTTCAGGCACAATCAGCAGTTCGTCTACTACAAGACCCTCCTCATCTGCAACAAGTAAAGGGCAGTACCATCAGCGCGCATCATCGACGAAAGAATCGACAAGTGGCGTGACGCAGCATCGAATATCAACAGCGTACGTACCAGCTTGTACCGCTAGGCGACGTCACAGGCACGCGTACGCGCAGCAGGACGAGTGCCCTTGCTTGTGCTCGTGACAGTACCTAGTAGCGAAAAAATGCTGCGCGAGCACATCTGCATTAGGTAGTGAATGATGATCAGTATCGGAACGATATATTTTCAGAAATTTAGTTAGCTTATGAACTAAATAGTAAAATTTATAAAAAGTCAAATCCTGATGAGCAGTACTCTAAAAATTTATTTTTCATGGACGACTACATATTTTCTAAATTATAATGTCTCAACAATTCTACCGTAAGGGTCGATTCCTATGGTAATTCAGACACAAATTGCTTTGAGAATCATTACCAGGATTTCTATTTCCCGCCAAAATGATCATAATCATCATCATAGGCGATCACTCGATACCGAGTATGATTATCTTCTATTTTATTCTTATTGTCGTCGATTGTACGTTTTCTGATGGCTATATAAACCAATTCTGGAGCCACACACTCTTTCGCAGTCTTGGCACACCCAGCCTCTAGCAGCATTGTTTCTTCCTCTATTTTCTCGCTCCTTCCTGGGGTCCCTCTTTTCGGTTTCGTGTCTGTGTCGTTCTTCAAAATTTTGTGGTCCGTCGTGGATTACTCGGCGCCAGGTATTGACGCGGCACTTTTCCATATTTCCTTTAAGAACATCTTTGAAGCGTTTTTGTTGACCTCCTTGATTTCGTTTTGCCTTTTTCAGTTAACTGTAGGGAATCTGTCGGAGAAGCGGACGAGGTGACCTGTCCAGCGAAGTTGGTGCTTAATGCTAGTTGTTTTGGCTTCCTCTGAAACGCTAATGTTTTTTCGTCGGTCTTGTTATTTAATCCGCAAGATTCTTCTTAGGCATCGCTGGTGGTATTTTTCTATAGACTTTCTATGTAAGTATATAAGTGTTGGTATTACAACTGCGTTGTAGATGCGAAATTTGGTCTCAGCGCTGACGTCGTGGTTGTTGAGGACTCTAGAAGTCGCCCGAAAGCCGTGCTAGCATACTTCAAACAATGTTGGATTTCAGCGTCAATGGTTGCATTCGCTGATGGATGGCTCCCAAGGTATAGGTAGTGTTTTACGTTCTGCAAAGTATAGTCATTTATAGTTATATTTGGGGCTTGGGGATTAGTGCCCGGTGCGGGTTGATGCAGAATCTGCCTTCTTGTTAAGCTTCGTACAGACTTGAACATTACGCTGAACAAACAGAACAACGAACCGAACGACGATCGAAACCCTAATTTAGGGGGCTACGAAGGCGTTTGAAAACCAGTACGCAAATCCTGGCCATTCGGCGAATGGTTTGCTGCGTTCTTATCGCTTGTAGGAACAGCACGAACATTCGGTTTGTGGTTCGAATCGTCGAAATCGAAAAAAGACGTTCGCCGTTCTATTTGCTGTTCGGTTCGTTGTTCTGTTGGTTGTTCGGCGTAATGTTCAAGTCTGTGCGAAGCTTAAAGTTGACCTCTAGGCCGATTCTCCTGTATACCATGCCTGGTTGAATGCATTAATAATCCGCATATTGAAGTTAAATCATCGATGTCGTCGATACTTTTGTTTTGGTTCGAAATCTTAGGTTGAATAAGCCGCCATCAAGTCTGTAAAGAATTTCCAGTCCTGACGGCAGGTGACCCTTGACACGGTGGAGTATGGTTCTTATAAATGGAGAGGATAAAGTGGGTGCAATAACACAGACCTGTTTAGCACCTGTAGTTATTTGAAAAGTCCCTTCTTGTCTATCGTTGCTTAGAAAAGTTGCTTTCATATTATCATGCAGCAGGCGGAGTAGCTGGATGTACTTTTGCGGAAACCCAACCTGTGCCAATATTTTCCAAAGAGCTTCTCTTTTGATCGAATCAAATGCTTTCACTTAATCTATGAAGGCCAATAGAAGGCGATTTTGTTCTCTGGATTTCTCTTGCGCTGAAAATCATGTCAGTTGTACCTTGATTGGGTCTAAAGCCACACTGTGTCTCTGGGAGGTTCTCTTCAGCAGTTGGGACGATTTGATGATTCCTGGCAAGTATCTGTCCCGCAACAGAAAGAAGAGATAGTCCTCTGTAGTTTCCATATTGAGCCTTGTCTCCCTTTTCAAAAATGGCAACTATGGAGGCATTTCTCAGTTCGGCAGGTATGATCTCAGTAATCCATATTTCACTTATTAGGGCGTGGGTTTGAGGTGCCCCAGACTCTTTGTCTAAAGAATTTAGCAGGAATGCCGTCAGTGTCAGCTCAGACTTATTGTTTTCTAGTTGTCTAATTGCCTTTTCAACCTGCTCTAATCTGGGAGCCTCGGCTCTTGTTATATCTGGGAGCCTCAGCTCTTGTTGTATTGGTTTCTGTGGAGTTTTGTTCAAGATGTCATTATTAATTTGTAGTTCTCTATCAAGTAGTTCCTGAAAGTGTTTCCAATCAGAATTAATGGAAGAAGTGTCTGAGTCCTTGAGTGGTTGGTCCGTATAGCATCTAAAGGCCTGGTTTCCTCCAACATTCGGTCGCGGACAGTCCGTCGACCGTCACGATTTGACGATTTTATCCAACAAATAATCTGGTTTTCTCGAATCCGCTTACTTGAGCGGGTTCACTCCACTCCGCGGACCCGTGGCGACTTGTTATTTTATATCTGTCGAGTTTGATTACAGCGGAATCGCCCAGCAGAACTACAGCGTTCAGAGACATTTATAATACCAAAATACATAAACCGCGCACATGTCGCGGACATAAGGAAACTATTTTCTATTTCTAGCAAAGCACTTTGGGCAGAAATCGTTATCCTCGGCGATCGACGGACTGTCCGCTCTCCGCGACCGAATGTTCGAGGAAACCAGGCTTTAAACTCCCCCATGTGCGTGGTGTGTGTTTTTTGATATTAAAAATGTCTCTGAGCGCTGTAGTTCAGCTGAACCGCTTTCGGATGCTACCCTTTAAGCGCTTCCGAGTTACTCCGAAGTACTCTGGCTACAGTTTGACCCGTTTGGGTGAACAGAGTTTGACGCTCTCGAGCTGCTCTCATTGCCTCGCCTCTCACTCCTGTGAAGCACCTACCATTTCATGGTTGCGTTACGGTCTGGGCAATACGGTTTCAACCGTTCGGGTGCAAAACCCATAAAGTATATCGGGTGTGAAGCGCTCTAGGAGCTTCGCACTCTGCACCCGAAAGCGGCTCTGGGGGACTCCGCTGTAATCAAACTCGACAGATATGAACTGACAAATCGCCACAGGTTTGCGGAGCAGAGCGGACCCACTCAAGTGAGCGGATTCGAAGAAACCAGGCTATTTGAAATTCTCTGGTTGGATAAAATCGTCAAATCGTGACGGTGGACGGACTGTCCGCTCTCCGCGACCGAATGTTCGAGGAAACCTAGGCCTTTAGTAGTTTAAAAAGAAGGCCCTTGCCAAAATGATAAGACACTCCTAAAATTTGTCACAGTTTTCTTTATGAACATACCTATATTATTATAGTTAACGATCCCATGATAACTTTCCATTACTTATCACGACATCAACCAACTTGGAATCTTCAACTATACGGATCTAGGAAAACTCTGAAGAAGAATTTTCTGTACAATTAGAATCCGTTTGATTAATGACCTCATCTTCAAAAATCCTATCTGTGGTCATATTAAGATGTTATCTCTGTGACTAGGGGGAGAGAAATGTAAAGAACTATATCCCTGGTCATTTTTGTAATTCCATGCATTTTTCTAGAATATCTATCACCCTAATATGATTTGAGAAAAATTTCCGCTACAGGCCTCAAAATGTTCGCAAGCATAATTTTTTACTTTTTTCCACCACAGTTTCAACCCATATCTATCAAAAATATGTGCTCTTCTCCTCATCACAACACTCAATATGAACATTAATATGATTTCTGAAGATTGCTTACAAATTTGAATTGCCTATTAGACTATAACATAATTTTTTATCTGCAGGTGAATCGCTGCTTTGAAATTTCTATTAGTAAGCACAAAATAGTCTAAACCCTTGTTTTACTCTGTCAGTTTATTCAATAACAAAATCTCGTCTGGATTATTCATCCAAATTGATTACTAGTTTAGTTTAACTTAATATTAGCAATTTTCAAAAATCTATTTAAATTAATGGATCAATTTTGTGCACATCTGTAAGCAAATCTATAAATTTCTATAAGTCTATAGGTGCCTAAAGACAATTTGCAATTCTGCACTTCCTGTAGATTGCAGAATATCTTATAGGATCGTGAATATTTCCGTTTGGGTGTTCGGAAATCGATGCGTTTTGCAGTTTCTATAGGCTTACAGAAATTCATACATTTGCTTACAGATGTGCGCAGAATTGACCTGTAAATCCGAACGCAATTTCTTCATGATATCTATGCAGGGTGAGCCAATGGAAACTTTCCACCCTGATTTTTTGGATTTGTAATTAAAATCTGAAAAACGCTTGATTTGGAAAGGAACTATTTTTCAGTTTTTTCCATCCCCGTAGCTTTAACCCGCTAGCTGAGGGAGAACAACCTCCCAAATTTCAATAGGGGATAGGGGTCGTGTCATACCTCTTTTCAAATGTCCCATCGAGTCTTTATGTCCCTAGAATTTCGTCTTATTATTTTTATCCGTAACGAACTGACAGCTTGTCAAAATCTTGGAAACAGACTATTGTTTCAGTGAGAGTGGAAGCGATACTTACCTTTCCTAATAAAAATACTTACAATTAAAGTTGTTTTATTGATATTAATAATAAGGTTAACACGTGAATTGTAAATTGTAAGTATCGCTTTTACTCCTACTAAAACAATAGTATATTTCCAAGATTTTGACAAGATGTCATTTCGTTAGGGATAAAAATATTGAGACGAAATTCTAGGGTCATAAAGAACTTGATGAGACCTTTAAAAAGAGGTATGACACGACCCCTATCTCCTATTCAAATTTGGGGGGTTGTTCTGCCCCCAAGCTACGGGGTTAAAGCTATTGAGATAAAAAAAAACTGAAAAATAGTTTCCCCTCAAATCAAAAATCGACGTGTCCGAGCGTTTTCCATATTTTCATTTCAAATTCAAAAAACCGGGGTAGAAAGTTTTCATTGGCCCACCCTGTATATAGAGCTTGACTTGTTGGTTCGTTAAGTCGCTTTAATTCTGACTGCTTCTTTTGGATCTCACTGGATCAATGTCCAGAAAAAGTTTCTTTATTTTAAGGTGAGATTTTAGGAATGTTCTAATTTCGTCATTAATCTCGATACCATATTATAGCCTAAATCTGACGTTCTGATTGGCTGAGTCATTTTTTTCAAGGCGATACATTGAAAATTTTAAAAAAAAAATGCAATAGACCCCAATCCAATCAACAATATACGCATAAAATAGGAGAACAAATTCAATTTCAAATTGAAACAAGCTTTGTTATCGCACTAGCTTTTTTATACCTTTATGATTTTTTTAAATTATTTGGTAAATTATTTAAATGTTTTTGGGCATTAGGTAGAGATAAAACTAAATAGACGTAAAACGAGAAAGGTACTGCCCTCCTCTAGATAACAAATATCGAATTTAGAATAACAAACTAAAAGGGTAATTAAATTGCATCTACTCAACCTTGTCACATGTTCAACACTCCCACACATTGCCACCTAAAGTCACCAACTCGCTTATTATGTGCACTACCTAATTGTTTTCAAGCTCCTGAATATCTCAACTAATCAGTGCAATATCACCGGCGAACTGTTAAACAGGTGCCATTGATGATTATTCATAATTTTTTTACGGAAACTAGCATTTCTGTTCATATTCGTTGAATGAGTAGATTATCGTGAATCAATTCTTGCTCGGTCTATCGCTCGCAGGAAGGCCCATGTTTTGTCATAAACGAAAGACTATGTGAAGTGGTGTGTTATATTCTGTTGTTTTGTCCAAAAAGTTCTGATGGTCTGCAAGTTTTGGTTTATTTTCTCAGCGTAAGTTCATTTTACCTATGTCGTTGATGGGTGTGCTGTGAATTTCTTCTTCACCTCTTCTTGAAAGATCACTCCCTTAGTGAATGCTTAATTCATTTGCAGTTGGGCTTCTTCCTAAAACGAACCTTCCAATATTATCCCGATCTCCTTGCAGTTTCTGTTAAAATGTGTTCTTTCCTGATTCATTGCCTTTTTTATGTCCTGGAAAGACTTCTTGTGATAAACTGTTCGCTGCATATACATGGACTATTTTTGTAAGCTGCATCTATTGTTGAGTCGAAGCGGAGAAGTCACCAAATTTATGTCAATGATTTTTGAAAGCGATTTATAATGTTCTGTGAACTATTATTCGCGCTTTTTTCAATGCCTGAACTTGATGGAGGGAGTTTTGACATAACATTTTCATCGCCAAATGGTCACTTTTGTAGTTACAGCCCACGAATTTGTATTTGCTTTTTTTTAAAAAATGCTGATAAAATTATGCTTGATACTTGCCTAATCTTCGATCTTAATCACAACAGCAAAATGTCAGTGATAACTGTACATCCTAAACAATTTCTATATTAATTTCGCTTAGCAATATTGATGAAATAATTGAGTTCACAAGCGACTCATTCGGCTATGGTTTCGAGACCATTGACTGACACAATTATAGACATTGGGTATCCTAAATTGTTAAAAGTGCGTGAATCAATCTATCTTTAGTTACCAAAGTTGCATGTTTGAGGATTATAATTAAAATTAATTTTGGCTACGATACTAACACAATTTGCTGCTGTAAAAAAATTCACTAATCAGAGATATAAAATATACAGTTCCTATATTGTAATGTGCAACCAAGTTAACTGAGTGAGTCAAGTAGAAGCCATCATATCAAAACTTCAATAAGTTGGTAGTAATTTTAATTAAAGCCGATCAATTAACGCATGTGAAAAATAGTTGAAACGTAGATACTGATCCTATATATTATTCATTACCTAACGTAGACCGCCTTTTTTTGAGTAGTACTAATATTGTAGATGGTTTTAGGAAAAAGCAAACCCACTTTCTATTGATACAGTTGACCATTTTTTTTATAATTTCAGAAATATCAAGAGGTATCATCGTTCTGAAGCAACAACGAAACACTAGCAATTGGAAGAAATACTAGATAATGAGTCCTTTCAAAATTGGATTTCAAGATTTGCTTGCCAACGTAAATGCCTAAGGTATACAAACAAATATGTAGTTGACGAAGAAGTATTGTCAGTATATTATGCTTTGTTGTATTGTAATATGTGTTAAAATTCGTAATTCCTGCCGTTTTAGTTAGTAAGTTCCTAAACAATTAGATTGTAAGATTCATGCGAAACATTATTTATAATGGATAACAAAATCCTTAAAAATTTAACAAAACAAATTCTTCTATAATTATTATTAATGTAAATATTATTTTAATGAATCAAGGCTTGGCTATATTAAGAGGCCTTTTGAAACTTGAAAAAATACTCTACAAATTCCATTTTTTTGGTGGAATTTTAAAATATAACTCGCTTTCTCTTAATGCTTTAAAAACCCTAAAATGACTATTTTTTCTTGTATTTATTGTGTTTCATTTCCTAACGCTTTCTCAACTTAATTGTGATTTTGTACTGCTTTATTGGTCATGTGATTTTTATCAATTTTAATAAATAATTATTTTTTAAACATTTTTATGTGCGTGTTTTATTTTCATATCGATTTTGGCTCTCTTCTGAAATGTTTGAGTAATTTCAGGAACTTTTCACTTATACTCACACCTCCAGAGTGAATTAGGTATATCATTCATAGTGCAATGAAATAGTATTTTTGGTAGGGAAGTTTTGGGGCAGTTTTGATTTTCTCAGTTTCTTATGTCTTTCGGGTTGCTGATTCCAAATCTAAGGCTTGCTAACAAAATTTTGTGACGCAACATTGAAAAAAATGCAAAAAAGGTACAGAAAAAGGGTAGTTTTGGCCGTCTTTTGCTTATAACTCAAAAGCAGCCATCAATTTTTCGGAAAAAATACCTATATTCAAAACGAAATTACATAAAATTGACCCTAAATTTCAACCCCCTGTAGTTTTTTCTCCGACGAACCGTTCGGGCTCAATCGTTAGTTAAAGATAGGCCAGGAATGTTGTTTTTAACATGGTGCTCGTGGAACAAAATTTCCTAAAGCTGATTTTTTGGGAATATTTAGAGCTTGTTGTCCAGATTAACATACCACCCTCCGAGGGTGCGAAAGACTAAAACTACCCCAATAGGTACAATTTTTATTTATACGCTAAATATATCGGGCACAGTTGATTTTTAGGAAAAAATGGAAGACATAAAAATTAAAGCCAATAAAATTTCCTATAAGCCAGTATAAATATAAGTATAATTTAATGAAACCAGTGGCGCGCAGGAGACGTCTAAAGTCGTAAATTATTTTTCGGTCTCGAAAAATCACCGTCTGATAGTCTCCGACGACGCGACCGACGCCGGCCGTAGCGTCTGAATGCTGTGACCTACAGAATAGGATAGGCATTATGACATGGTCTATTTTATGTTGCGACCGTTTTTTTAAATTCCAACGCAGAGAGAAATGACATTACCTACCACTGTCCGAAAAAAGTTTCTCTTAGCTCCTCATGGGGCAGGAAAGACAGTTAGACCGCTAAATCAGCTTCATTTTTAAAAATACCATCATCCAGGCAGAGCTTAAATGCGAACTTCTCGTTAACTTCCTTACCACCAACTTCATATGCTGCCTCTCAGCATAGTTTACAAGTGTAGCATCAAATTCAGGAATGGCTGGGAAATTAGTTAAAACCTACGGCTTGGGGCTGAAGGAAAAAGGGAGAACTTCTTGTACCAACTACGGTAAATAAACCAATAGCTCCGGAATTCATCCTCAAACATAGACGCCGGAATTTCAAAACCACTATGGGGGCTCGGGTTCAAAAAATTAACATAAGTACAATCAATTGGACAGACAGGACTGGGCTACTAGACACATAGACTTAAATGGGACTAGTTGGCAGATACCCATTTCACTGCAGGATCGCTACGCTGGATCATTGATCGTCCCTGCAAGTCCCTGCATATGATTGAAATTAATTAAAAATACAAAAGTATTTGACTTACAATCCTTTTAAGTTTCAGATTTTCAAGTCATTCATAACAGTCGTACTAGGCAAGTCCATGACAGGCCAAGAACTTTAGACTTTGTTGCACAACACTGACAGAATCTGCTGAAGTTTTTAATTTTGTTATTTGTTTTGAATAATTTAGACTCGAAATTAGACTTCATTTGTTGTTCTAACTAAATGGATTATTTGGGAAAATGTTCATAATAATTATATCAAGCACCTACTAGTTATTTAAAATAGATACATATGACACGCCACCGACTTAATATATTCTGATAGTTTTTCAAACTGTTCATATTCATCTAACATTAAGTTTGGTTGTCTTGAAAAACTTTTTAAGCCATTTAGACTAGGGAGACGTGATTTTTGAAGATTGAAAAATAATCACCGAGTTCAGACATTTATTGCACGCCACTGGTTCGATCAAATTATACTTAAATATATACCAATTTGTAGCAAATTTTATTGACTTTAATTGTATTTTCTAGCATTTTTTCTCAAAAACCAATCGTACCCGAGATATTTGCCTCATAAGTAAAAATTGTACCTATTGGAGTGGTTTAGGGGTTCTTTGCACCCTCGGAGGGGTGGGGATTTTCAGTATGTTTATCTAGACAACAAATTCTACATATTCTCAAAAAATTAGCTTTAGGTTATTTTGTTCCACGACGGAACTTAACTGGAGTAAGAGAGACGTGTTTTATTCATTTCCACAAAAACTCACTTTTTACCTGCAAAACTCTAATTTATTATCTACAGCACTTTATTATTAAATTATCATATTATTTGAGCGGTTTTCTCTTAAAAAGTCCTAGCTTAGGATCTTCGATGACAGAAGGTACTGGCAGAGGATCAATGAACATCGGAAATTGTGAGAAAATGTGAAAAACAAACTTGTGATTTTGCAATTAGACGTAGGTATGTGTGAGCATTTTTCTTCAGACAGTTCCTGGTCTCTTTCTTCGGCCCCTTCCTCGTCTATTTCAACGATGTCGTCCGGGGACTAGAGGTGTTCACACAACCTGTTGCATGTTGTGTATATTAGAGAGCAATAAAGGCCTGTCTTGCTGCACCTACAATTCCGCTGGCAACGTTTCTTGCATTCACAAGATGCTGATGAAGTATTGAGTCCGGTGCTGGTTTGAAACTGGCACAAGACCACTGTTTTTTTCCTACCCTCACTCGTTCGAGTCTCTCTGTTGTTGTTGTTCATAGTTTGTCCAGATAACCACTGCTACACCTGAAAGTAAACTCTCTGCGCAGGCGCGTCACTTCGAGGGGGGTTGCGGGGAGATTTTAATACTAAATTAGATTTTTGGTGTGAAAGAGGTGGGTTTTTGGGGAGACAAACGAAATACGACAATGTTTGACTAACGCTTGAACCCAAACGGTTTGTCCTACAAAAAAAAATTTAAGGGATGTAATTCATAGAAAATTTTATGTACTTTCATTTTGAATCAAGCTGTTTTTCCGAAAAATGTATAGTTTTCGAGCTCTAGGCAAAAGACTGTGTCAATTACCTTTTTTTTAACTTTTTTTGCATTTTTTTCAATGTTGCGCCACGACATTTTGTTGGCAAACCTCAGATTCGGATTTAGCACCCCAAAAAACATGAAGAATCAGAACTTTCTCGCGAGAAGCTTTTATGAGCACAAATTTATTCTATTGTTCTTGTAGGCATACTTCATGTAGATTAAAAGAATAAAATATTGCGCGACAAAAATTATAATGAGTATTTGTTTTTACAAATAGAGTGAAAAACTGCGAAAATTAATTAAATCGTAATTTTTTTCAAAAATATATTTCTTCAAAAATTAGCCTTTCATAATGTTTAGGCAGTAATTTTTTTTTTCGTTTTTGATTTTTGTAGCTTAGAATGATAAAAGATAAGAACATTTTTGACACATATATCTCATTCTTGCACAGTGTCAGGAAACGAGAAAAAACAGAGAAAAAATTACAATCATTATAAATGAAATCATATTCAAGAATTATTTATATCTACGCATGTTGAGTACGGTGTATAAACCTGACAAATATCTGCATAATTTAAATAAACATTTGATTATGTATTTACTTTCAAGTTTCTGTATATCTCCCAGTATCTATTTAGTGTCATTTTTTTGACCTTTACTGATTATAAGTTATTGTATTGCCATATCACACAGACACACATTCTCCGTCTTTTCTGTTGAAATTTTTTAATTTTTTTTAGTTTTGTTATTGCTAATCCGAGTTGAGCAATTGTTTTTGGTGTTGAAATAAGTAAATCGTGAAAATGGTAAGTTTTTCATAAAAAATTTAGAGCTGTTCTATTTCACAAATATTTTCCAACACAAGAGTATTTTTCACGTAAAGCTGGATAAAGAAACTTGGAGGGTGTCTAATAGCCAAAGAAAAGTCTAGATATGGAAAAAATGGCCATGAAAGTACAGGTGAAAGAGTAAAATATAACACTATTTTATTCGCTATTATAATTCGTGGAGAGGGACCTTGTTTAATAAAAATAAATTGTGGTATGGTATAACATACCCGGGTTCGTTCAGCAAGATTGAACGGGATGAATTTTTATTATCTGTTCTTTTAACAAATCTTCTGAAAAACGAAATTAAACACAAATAGGACCTACGTTGTCGAAACTTACCCAATTTTATTTACTTAACATGCGCCCGACAATTTATTATTAGAAAATCGTAACGTTCTCGACCTGGGACTCACGACAAGATAGAGCACGACAGAGAAGCACTCGATCTAACATTCCTCAAAAATCAAAACATACCGTCACATTTTAATAATAATTGTGAGTCAATAAAAGTTTAAATTAGGTACCGTCCCTGTTCTTGTGCTAAAATTTTAATTCCACACACTACATTCCACCAACACTACCTATATTCAATAGTGAAGAGTTTTGGTTAATAAGCCAGTTCCACCAGCAGGTACTGAGGTACCTGATTACGATAGGCTACTCAGCTATAGTCGTTATCTTGAGCCAATATCTCTAGATTGATTTTTCAATTTGTTTGCTAGGATAGTCGCTCGTCAGGGTAGGAAAATGTTAGTAGATTCAACAAGGCCCTAATGCACGCTCTGAATACCAATTTCAAAATCCCAGCACAAAAGAGACTACATAATTTCTTTAGGTTTTAATTTACTCGAGCCCCGGGAAAAAAAATAATAACGGGCCCTTTTTTTTTCATTGATCCAGAAGAGTACACGGAGGGCTTGGACCAAGTTTTATCCTTAGTTTTGATGCAGCATCTGGTGTAGGTTGACCTCCGAGGAGGATCCTGAGTAATCTGCTTCATTGCTGGACGGTGTGGATGGACTTTGAGGAGGTGTACATTTCCTTCACTGCTGGATGGTATCGACTGGGGCAGATCTAACCTGGAAGAATAAAGTTTCAAATGTGCTATGTTTCGCCTTATTGTATTTCCTGTTGAGTTTGATGTTAGAGTGACATCGCTTTGGTGTTTTCCTATTACTGCATATAATTCATTCTTATATGGCGCACTAAGTTTGTTTTTCTTTCTTTTTGTCGTTACTAAAACGGTATCTTATTCATTTATATTTGATGTCTTTGCTCGTCGTCTTTTGTCAGCATATGGTCTGAATACTGTATTATTTGATAAGTTGTTTTCATTCGGGTTTAATGGCCGTCGTAAGTTAGGATTTCTTCCTGACGTTTCGCTAACACGCGTCGCTAGCATCTTCAGAGGTGCTTCCATGTACGATTTTGGTAGCAGACTGACGCGTTCCCGACCGTAAGTTGTATTTATGTGTGAGTGGCTGTGGTGGGGCAGGGGCGAGGCTTCGCGGCACGTGGCTAATCTCAACTTCCTCTGTACTCAATGGGATCTTTCTTGCGTATTTGAAGATCGGGTTCCAGTTTTGGTTAAGTTTTAGTGTTTCTTCTTTCCTGTTGAAGTTCTCCGTATGTTTGTGCATTTCTATAACTTCACGTACAAGACGATTATGGTATTCGGAAGTCGGTGCAAGAAGCTTGACCTCACCAAAGAGTATTTCATGATTCCCTTCACCAAGCGCATGTTTCGCAACTGCCGATTTTCCGATTGTCCTAGTCTGCAGTTGCTTTTGTGCTCGTTCATCCTGGTTCCCAGGGATATTTTTGTCGTTCCTATGTATACCTTACCACATGTGCATGGTATACAATAGACTGCAGCGCTTGACAGAGAGTTCCTCTTATCCTTGGCTGCTCTGATTGATTGCTGTATTTTCCTTGTTGGCTTGAACATTGTTTTTATGTTGTGTTTCTTCTGACTTTCCCTATCCTGTCTGTCACCCGAGAAATGAAAGGCAGATATGCATTAGTCACCACTGGTTGTACATCCACGTTTTGTCGTGTGGCAGTTTTGGGTCGCATGGCCCTGTCGATTTCAGATGCATTGTAACTATTTGATAGAAAGGCCGACTTGAGATGATCCAGTTGTTGCTCGAGATATTGTGGCTCGCAGATGTTCCGAGCACGTTCTGTTAACGTTGTTATAATTCCACGTTTTTACCTTGGATGGTGGTTTGAGAGTGCATGCAGGTGCATGTCTGTGTGTGTAGGTTTTCGGTACACCGTTTGGCTTAGTTTTCCTCCAGATTTCTTCATGAGCACATCTAAGAAGGCGATTTCCTGGCTTTTCTCCTTTTCCATGGTAAATTCTATGCTAGGATGTTGCTCGTTCAGGTGGCCTAGGAACTGGTTAAGCTTCTCTTCCCCATGACTCCAAACCACAAAAGTATCAGCTACGTATCGAAGCCATACTGTTGGTTTGTGGTCAAAGGACTCAAGGACTCCATAGCTTTCCTCTCGCATTCCTCCATAAAGAAGTTGGCTATGACCGGGCTGAGCGGACTTCCCATAGCTACACCGTCCGTTTGCACGTAGAAATCGCCGTTCCACAAGAAGTAACTACCAGTGAGACATGTCCGGAAAAACTCAACTATGTCATTGGGGAAGGTACTTGATATCAAGTCAAGAGATTCTGTTAATGGCACTTTTGTGAATAGGGACACGACATCAAAGCTGACCAGGATATCGTTAGGTTGAAGAATAATATCCCTAATTTTCCGGACAAAGTGAGTAGAGTGCTGGACGTAAGAGCTAGTTTTTCCTACATGCGCGGTTGAAGAAGCGATGCAATGAAAGGTTGTACGTTGGTACTCCAGGTGCACTCACTATAGGTCTTAGCGGGACTTCCGGTTTTTGAATTTTGAGTAGGCCGTAGAGTCGCGGTGGAACTGCTTCTGTTTTATGATGTCTTTCTGAACCGTGTCTGTTAGGGTAGATGACCTAATCAGTTTGTTGGTGTTCCGGAGTATGGCTTGGGTAGGATCCTTCTTTAGCTTTCGGTAGGTAGATGGATCAAGGAGTTCCTGAATTTTCCGCTTGTAGTCTTCAGTTCTCAATAGGACAGTTGCGTTGCCCTTATCCGCAGGTAGGACGATCATATCTTCCGCTGAATTCAGGTTCTTAATTGTCATTAGTTCCTTCTTAGGGAGGTTAATGGTTGGTTGTCGAGCCTTTCGTAGAATGTTGGCCGTCTCAATGCGGATTTCTTCCGCTTCCACATCAGGTAGTGCTCTGATGGTTGCTTCAGTGCTGGCTATAATCTCGTCCGTTGGCAGATGTTGTGGAGTGATGGCGAAATTACCGCCTTTTGCCAAGACGGCTGTTCCTCTTCGGTAAGGAAATTGATGACCAGTCTGGATTTGTCAGGTGCTGGGGAATTTCGTGTTTGTTCCTTACAGAACTTCTCGTATTTTCGGATCTGAGCTTCTCTCACACTTCTTCCACAAACATACGGAGAACTTCAACAGGAAAGAAAAAACACTAAAACTTAACCAAATTTGGAACCCGATCCTCAAAAACGCAAGAAGAGAGATTAGCCACGTGCCGCGAAGCCCTGCCCCTCCCCCACCACAGCCGCTCACAAATACAACTTACGATCGGGAACGCGTCAGTCTGTTACCAGAATCGGACATGGAAGCACCTCTGAATAAGATGCTAGCCACGCGTGTTACCGATACGTCAGGAAGAAATTCCAACTTACGACGGCCATTAGGCCCAAATGAAAACAACTCATCAATAAACCTGATGGGCCGCGAAAGCCTCACAAACTTTACTGGATTATTTGTTCACTGATGGATAGTATTTAAGTTCGAGTTGCACGGCCGAAAAAAAGTTGGGCAGGAGAAACACCAGTTGCAGGGAGTGGAGTGTTTCTATCAATCAGAAGGTAATTTTTAAGGTCCCTTTGCCAATCGCTTCCTGGAGTATTTGCACTTATGCGGAGCCTTTTCAATATTGAGTTGTTTTGTGTTTCAACCAGTCCGTTGGGTTGAGGCCAGTATGGAGGGGTTGAATAAAGTGTTATTCCATGTTCTTTACAAAAACCCTTGAATTAATTACCGATAAATTGTCGGCCATTGTCAGCAGTGATAGTTCGAGGTAGGCCTAGAAGGGAAAATAGTTTCCGGAGTTGTTCTATTGTGTCCTTCGAGGTGATTTTCTCCGCGCAATTACTTCTTTAAATCCACTATAATAGTCAATGATTACTAGCCGATATAGTTATTTTCCTAACAAGTGCGCAAAGTGTCACTTTTCCGCACGCAAACACAGTTATACGAACGACGCGAAGCGGAGTTCGGATACGTGTTTGCGTGCGGAAAAGACACTTTGCGCACGTGTTAGGAACAACATTTTTCCTACGAGCTTCATATCAGGTAGGTAACAAGATTTTTTTTTTTTTTTAAACCCATAATTTGTTCAATTATTTTTAATTAACTTGAAGCGAACCTATACATTTATCAAAAAATTACCTAATAAAAAAAATAACAGAAAATCCTCGTCAGAGCTGTTCATCTTAAAGCATTTAAATTTGATGATAAAGTTTGTAGATTCTTGCATATAAATAGAGAACAAATCTGACAATGTGTCAAGGTTAATTTATATTTGGTGTTTGTATTGATGTTGGCTGATATAGAAACCGAGAAAAAATTTGTCATCATGTGTCAAAGTCGACAGGTGCACTTATTGTTGCTTGACAAGTATTTTTACTTTTCGGCACTCAGTGCGGATAAGGCCTGTATCCGCACTGAGTGCGGAAAAGTGTAACTTTGAGCCCTGGAATGCGTGCGGAAAAGTACTTCTTTGCGCACGCTCGTAGGAAAAATACTTTTGGGCATTGGTCCACAGAAGTCAATTGCTATATCGGTTCAGGGGGTAGCAGGAAAACTTCTAATTTTTAAAGGTTCAGGTATGTTTGTTACCGTGACTAAAGCACATTCGTGACTTTGTTTCACATATTCGGTAACATCAGCATCTATTTTCGGCCACCATGCATAAGAACGTGAAAGGCGCTTCATATTATCCGTACCTGGGTGTCCTTCGTGGCTTAGTAGTGTCAGTATTATACGACGCAGGTCCATTGGCATCATAATTTTAGTGCCCCGTAGAAGTATGTTTTCGTGAAAACAATATTCCGTTTTAAACGGTTTATAAGCTTGTATAGATTTTTCAGACTCCCACAGCTTGTCATTATGTAAGCATTTCTTAATCATCTGGATTTGTGGGTCAGTTTTTGATTGGTCGTTTACTTCGTTTATGGTTACAGCGGGAATACTGCTTGTGCTCGTGGTGGCAGATATCTGGTTCACTAAATGTTCGATGTCGTGTTCAAACAGGTTTGTCGGATGTTTCATATTCACTGGCAGGCGTGGTAAAGGATCGGCGATGTTCGTCTTTCCTGGTGTGTAAATTACATTGAAATCGTAAGCTTGTATTCGCAAAATCCAACGTTCGACTCGTGCGCATAGGGTGTTTCTCGGGGAAAACATAAACTCTAAGGGCTTATAATCAGTCAAAAGTTTTTCTAAATGAATATTTGTGGAAATGCTCCACTGTCCAGACCAGTGCCATGGCTTCCTTTTCAGTTATGTGGTATTTTTGTTCTCTTTCGGAAGGGCTGCGGTGGCCGTACGCAATAACTCTGGGCCCCTCTTTCGACTTTTGGCATAATACGTCCCCGAGGCCTACGGGATTAGCATCAGCAATGACGAATTTCGGATCACCCATAGAGTAAAACCTCAGAACTGAGTCGTCCGTCAAAATTTCTCTCAGACTTTCATTAAAAGCAGACTCTTGAGGGTTTTCCCAGGTAAACATATTATTTTTCATGATTTGTCAAAGTGGATATGTTTTTGTGGCTACATCGGCGGAAATAAATCTTGAAACATAATTTATAAGGCCTTGAAGCTGCGACTTTCTTCTACAGATGTTGGTTACCTGAACCGTTGTACCTCATCGATTTTAGCTAACGTTGCTTTCACTCCATTTTTCGATAAAAATGGAATGGAAAAATTAAATTTCTGGTATTTTTATTTTGCATTTATTGTCCTTCAGGACGACGTTATATTCTGATAATTTGTTTCTGACGGATTTTAATCTCTTATCGTGCTGTTCCTCGTTTTCAGCCTAAACTAAAATATCGTCAATGTACACAAAGAATCCATCGCAGTCTTTGAGGATTTGTTCAATGGTCTTTTGGAAGATTTCAGGAGCACAGGAGACTACTAACCCAAACATAAGGCGTTTATACATGTATAGTCCCCTACTCGTGATGAAAGTTGTTATGTGTCGAGATTCGGGTTTAATCATTATTTGGTGAAATGCTTGCTTAATATCCAAACTAGAAAAAATCGTACAGTTTTTCAGTTTGGATAGTAGGTTTTCAATTGTGGGCATTGGGTATTTTTCTCGGAGTACTGCTTTATTGGCTCGTCGCATATCAATACATATGCGTATTTCTTTGTTTGGTTTGCAGTTGATAACCATAGGAGATACCCAGCCCTTCACATTTTATCATATATGAAATTAACTCTAGAGCATGTTCTTTTGGTTGATAGAACATATTGTCAACTGGACGCCTTGTGAACATCACGAAACAAAAAGTTTCTAGAAATTGCTCTAATGTAAACGGGGCTTTACACTTGTGGGAAGTGTCTTTTCCGCCCTTAACGTTGCCATTGCGTGCAGAAAAGAAGATAAATATCAGCCTATAGTCGCTGCGATTTGTGGGAAGGAACGCTCGATTACATATTGAAAAAAAAATGCGAAAGAAGTTTGTGAAAAAAAAGGCCTGCTGAAGTTTCAGCGAATAATGCCAAGAAACTAGATCCTCATATTATAAAATGTTCAATTAATTTTTGCATCGTAACAATAATTAATTTGAATAAATTTCTTCCACTAAAATAACAAATATATAACTCACCCTTTCATCGAAATCATGATATGTGATTCATCATTCAATAATAAAACATCACCACCAATGTAACAAAATCTATCAAACTCGTTCCCGCTTAAAATTAGCGAAGAAGTAGGTTTAGGAAAAGCAGCATCAGATAGACAGACAAATTTATCTATTATTGCTGATAAAGATACCGAAGATAATCAAAATTCAAACATCAGTTTTGTTTAACCAGAGATTTCAGAGGCTTAGGTTTTTATTGTAGTGTAACCATGTAACATTGTGATTTTACAAAAAAAAAAACCTACATCAAGATTATTTGAGAAGTAATATTTATTTTATTTTGTTGAAAGCCGCAAAAAGTTAAATTTGTGTTTTTTTGGCTGTTTAGCATCTTTGCTCATAATTTTAATATCTGTACAGGGTGTGTAGTGTGAAATAAGTACCTATGTACTTAAAAGATTACAGGATAAAATATATTTAGATAATTAGTTATAACAGAGAAGTTATCAAACCGTCTGACGATAACAAATTAAAAAAATATACAGTGTGTCCACTTAGGTTCGCAGCATATATGGGAAACTTTTTTATTATCAATTTCACGAAAAAAAGTTATTCTTAAAAAGTTTCTGCTTCTTGAGAAAATAATATTAAACTAATAAAATTTGAAATAGCATGTACAGAAAATAAAAAATTATACAGGATTTTTTAGTTAAAAGTAGGAAAAAAATGGCACGTTACTATTTTTTTAAACCTTTGATTAAGCAAGTCATATTGCAGTAAAAAGATTCCTTTCGTTATCACAAACAAACCTGCCAAATTTGAAAAAAAAAAAAATTGGAAAAGGGGGTTTTGAGCTAAAAAACGATTTTTTCTAAAACTTTGACCCCCTGTATCTCAGAAACTACGCATTTCTGGACCCGTGTTTATGGGAACTTTTTTTCTTAAAATATTGTAAGGAATCACATTCTGAAGTTACGAACCGTACTTTGGAAACACCCTGTATATTTTTCTATTTATTGACCACCCTGTACATGCCATTTCAGGTTATAATAGTTTAACAATAATTTTTTCAAGAACCAGAAACTTTTATAAGGAATAACTTTTTTTCGTAAAATTGATAATAAAAAATTTTCCCATATGCTGCGAACTTAAGTGGACACACTGTATATATTTATGAGTTGCCAAAAGTTTTAATTAGCGAAATGCGTTAAAATAATATAAAGTATGTAATAAGTATAATTACGTTCAACTGACTGAAGAGCGACATCAAGCGGAGTGATATGACAGGACCAGGCTACTAGACATTGGGCTTCAAAAGGACCAGTTGACTGATACCCATGTCACTGCATGTCGAGCTGGATGTTATTGAAATTCGTGCATCTTCGGCAGCACAGCCTAGATTCGCTGAGACTGGGAACAAGCTAATTCGTCTTATTACTCCCTATGTGTCTAGTATAGGGTGGTCCGGTCTGTATATCAAGCTGTTTATTTTATTGATCGTCATCAGTTCAGCATGATATAACTCATCCTTTCTCAAGATGCAACTAAGCGGGGAAGTTAGATCGATTCGGGTTTTTGTCCAGAACGATTCTTCTTACTCCTGAGTCTCGGTACTAGCTGCTTGTAGGCTAGGATAACATAGCCAACGAGGATCAGAGTGTATATTAGCAACCTTCTGATTTTACTGGAGTTCAATTGAAAAAGATTTCACAGGATCTCATTAGCTAGTTCTCTTTTTCTAGAACTCTTATAGATGTATACTGGTACACCTCGACAAAAACTTTTTTTGAAAAATATCCGGAAAGTTTTCGGGATATTTTTCGAGAATTTTCGACTCTGTGAATTTTCACAGAGTTTTGCACAAAAATGTCAAAATATTTCCAAAAAAATACTCACCTCTTGTCATGTAACTAACCTATGAAAATTATTATATAATATATTGGCGCGGATGGTACCTACGCCTCTAAAAGTCGACGCAAAAAAATTATGTTTAGAAGTGTGACTGAGCTTGCAGCATTACAAACTTCTTGCTCTATTTTACCATGGATCGTACCATCTTCGATAATGAAAAACTTGTAAGTTTGGTAGAGACGAATTCTTGAGTATATACAAGTCACGAAGATTATTTTGACACTCTTCAATATCAATATTCACAGAACATTTTATTAAAAATTATTCCAATAATTATAAAAAGTATGCAAAAGTATCAATACGGTATTCGGCTGTGATTCTGTATCTTGCATACAGTCTCCTCGTCTGAAAAAGGCCAGAGGATCTTGTTTTATTTGTGTGAATGGTTTCGTTATCAGTGTCACCGACTGCAAGGTGGTTCAACGTCCGGTTGTTCCATCGTCGTGATTAGGTCAAGGACAAGGTTGTCTACCTATATTGCGTATTGGGTTTTTGTTATTTGTTGATGAAGTCGGTCGGTTTCTAATTCTCTATTGAATTCTCCGATATGTGAGACTAGATTTGAAGTATATTGGCAGTATCAGTATAAGAGTTTTCCTTTTTTGTACATTATTTGGTTGTCGAGTTCCTGTTATTTTATTCACCAGCACTATTATAGCTTTGAACTGGTATTTTTAAATTTAAAAGGCCATTGTGAGGGTTCATTTATGGTCAGGTATGATGATGTTAAATCTTTGTCCATGAAGGTATGGAGGTATGGTCTACAGTATTTTGTTGCTTATACTTCAAGGCTTGAACATTCCTTCTCAATGGTGGAATTATTTTGTTTGGAATCATTCAACGTGATGTGTATGTGAGTGGTAAATCTTGACCTATGGGTCCTTGCGATAGTACGGCTCGGTCAAGTTGAAGGTTTTAGTAAAGTCCGGGTATTGTTATATTGGCTCGCTTAATAAAAGTTTTTCACATTTTTGGAAGCAATCAATACGCTCTTAATTATATTCAATTTTGGCTCCTTTTTTCAAAAAAATAATTCCCTTTTATCTAGTTGGATCTTGAAATTAGCTTCTCCTAATCTTTCAGATACGGTTCTAAGACGCTCCAAGTGCTCTTGTAGGGGCGTTGAAAAAATTATGATGTCTCAAGGTAGCCAAGGCATTTTCCATTGTGAATTCCTCGTAGAATACCAACTATGACTCTTTGACAAGTCGCAGGGGCGTTTGTGAGCCCAAATGGCATTTGGAAAAATTCGAAATCACTATCTTCTGTAATAAATGTTGTTTTTTCTTTGTCGGTGTATAGTTCATTCACATTCAGTTCAGTTCAGTTCAGTCACAGTTGTATTTGTATGCTATAGTTCTTCTGATATAAAGAGACCAGGGTGGGTAACGTGGAAATAATTATCATCAGAAGTTTGTTGTGAATCGTTTAAATTGGTTTCTCTTGTTATACAGTGACCGCTAAAAAGTTTGCAACAAATGGGAAAATATTTTATTATTAAGATATCAAAAAAAAAGTTACGTGGGATCAATTCAGGATACCCATCAACAAAAAAATCACTGTGACAGATGTCATGTGACCACAGTCATGGCGGCAAATTTAAAAAGTTCGCCTTGAATATGTGAAAGTGGGGTTAGATGACCAGAAATCGAAAATTTGTAGAGAGAAAAGTTGTTCAGGATCCGATTTTACGTCCATGTGTCAATTTTAAAAAAGGTACAAGGATTTTTAATAAATATCAATTTTTTAGCCTGTTTTCTCGTAACTTGAAAAATATCAAAAACTTTCCGTCTGGTTCACATAATTGAAAGTGAAACTAACAAAAAAAAAATCCAGTGCAATAATTCTGCTTAATTGTCCCGCGAAAAATTGTAAAAAACCAAAAATTCATTTTCAGACCACTCTGATCTTGTTGCAATGACCTACAGAAAACAAAAATTTGGAATAACAAATTTAGAATTATCATGAAATCTTTCTAAATGATCCCAATACCTATTTTCTAAATTTAATCAAGCCAATATTTTTGTGAAATGTTTTCGATATTTTTCAAATTACCAGAAAACGGACTTGAAAAATTTTCGTAAAAAATCCCTGAAACACGGCAACTATAATTTGAAGGATGACGAGTTTTTATGCAAAAGGGGGGTCAAGTGCATCATTTAAGAGGGTTTTTAATTCCTTATATTTTGGTACTAAATTTTTTGAATTCACTTAAACCTATAATAAGTTACTCTCTTAGGTCGAAAATGTTCACGTTCAAATGAAAAAAAAAAAAGCCGTACCCTTCCAGAGTCAAACTTCAATGAGAAATTGGATCGAGTGTATGTAATGATGTATCACCTGACCCTCCTTCCCATTTGAGATTTTCTAGGGGGTGGCTCTGGGGGCTGGGGGGTTGAAAGTGAGGAGGTGAATTTTACATAAAAACTCATCCCCTTTCAAATTATACTTGACGTGTTTCAGGGATTTCTTCGAAAAAGCTCCGATATAATAGGAGAGGTAAGTTTTAAAATGAACACCCTGTATACCTATCAAGGTCATCAGAATTACCATCAAATTATGGTACGCAGTTCAAGTATTCAGGCTTGATTTCAGCCATATGGCTTGTATTATTTGAATTTGAATTTGAATTATTGCAATGTCTGTAGCTGTGTCAGCTAATAATGAATTGATGTTTTCTATAAATTCTTTTATATTAGAAAATGACTCAGTTGAAGGTAGGTTAAGAGATGCTAACTTTCTTGTTTCATCATCAACATATCAGACATTAAGAAAAATCAGAAATTGCACATAGAACTTACATGAATATAATTCTGTAAATCAACATTTATAAGGCCAACACTTTCTAGACGATGTAGGATCCTCATGAGGATTAACTATAATCTTTTGATACTCCGATTACTTTGCAGGCAGTTCCTTGATTTTCAATTTTTGCAAAACCACTCCGACACTTCACAAAAAACACTTAATATTTGACTAGAGTGGTGATTCTAGGTTCTAGATGTTCCGCTTTCCGAAATTTTGGCAGAATCAGTACCAGAAAAATCCGTACGACTGCGCCAGTTATGAAGCCGTGTGCCGATTACAAATTAAAAAAAAAAGAAAATAATTATTTCTCATTTACAAAAAGTTTGGATTCGCAAAACACGTTACAATTAAATAAGATACGAATAGAAGAAGCATAATTGCATTCAACTCACTGAAGAGCCTCTTCAAGATAAGTGGTA